ACGATGAACGGCATGCCTTGTTCCAACATTTCGAAGTGGACAATAGGCCTTCCCACTTTGAAGATTGTTAGAAACAGGGTATCCTATTCATGTGCACCATGCTCTCCAAGTGACCCTATTGAGATGTCCTTGACTGCCTGAGCGGCTGAGTTTTGACCCACTAAGAAACGGGGGTTGATCAAAAGGTCCTCTACATGGGATGAGCATTGGGTGAAACCACTCTACATGGGACGCGCATTGCACTAAAGTGGTGATATTTTCCACGAAACGGGAAACATTAGCCTGACCCCCGAAACAGACCGTCATTCACCCTCCCTTGACACACTTCGCCTAGTGCATGTCCTCCCAGTGGCCAGCTCGACCCGAAGCCAAGCCCGCTTGGTTGCTGCAGATCAGTGGCATACGTGACGGTTTTCCCAGACCCCAAGCAAGGCTTCAGAAACGGCCCAAAATGACCCCATGAGCTCTTGACTTGACATCCCGGGAATGAAAGCGGACTTTTTCCAAGGGGTGGAGGTGCTTGCCAGATGAGTTCTGCGATAAGGACCTGCTTTTTTCCCACAATTTTGTCCACAAATATTTTGGACACATGTTCCATGATCATCTTTGGCAAGGCAAATGCGACTTGTAGAAGGAAACCGCTTTCCCAGCCCCATGGTCCATTTCCTGTTTGAAGTGAAGCCAAACGACCCTAGTATTTCACTCCCTGAAGGTCCCTGAAAGAGGAATATGGGCCAAATCCAGGACCCTTTCAGGTTCCGTGTCAGAAGATAAATCATGCTTTAGTTGCGGGAATGACATTTTACCATCCACTCCTAGGCGTCAAGTGGTAAACCTCATACCGGACTCATACCAACATCCCTGCGCGCAAGATTTGGGGCAGGGTTTTGTCTTGCGATTTGGACTGGAAGTGGTGGTCCCCAAACCATGAAGCTTCCGGTTGGACCAAGGCGTCCATTTGTAGTCATAAAATAGTGGAAGCCTGGGCTCTCCTGTTTCCCTTCAAATCGTTCAATACCGGGATGCTTTTTCTTGAGCCCTTTTACACTTTTACCCCTTCTAAGGGACGCAAAGGCACAACCCTATGCCATGGACACTTAGAGCTTTTTTTGCATCCCAAACCCCTGAAGGAGCTGCATTTGCCCTACACGAGGGTTTTGCCTTCGGTCAGGAGATTTGACGTCGAGTCAGCTGCTCGACAATTGCGCCAGGCCTATGGGAAATGGGGTTTGGAGGCCCGCCCACTTCTTATTTCGGAATCACTCTCGGTATTTGCAGGCCTATGACAGCGGTATGATCCGAGGAGGTGAAACACAAACAACAACGCATTGATTGCATGTACCATTGGCATTATTAGCATCATTGGCAGTGAGCAGATTTCGTAAAGTAAATTCCAAAACAAGTCCCTTCCAAGGCAACCGCCCGGTCAGGCCTGACGCTCCAGCAAAGCAGCACGTGTTGATCGTCTTGTTCTCATTCAGTCAAGAACGGAGCATTGCCACTATTCTTTTGTCGCAGGAAGCCCAGCTCTCACCCTGCTTTTGGCATTTCTAGGCTTTCACTGCAGCCATTGCATCGAGGGACTGGGCTCCCGTTCCTTCTTGCGTGGTCGTTGTGTCACATGTGCTCCGTGGCATGGCTTCGGCTTTGACTACCGTTTGCCTTGAAGATGAGCTGGCAGCGATGCCTGCACCATGGCGTGACCGAGTGCAGCACCATGCTCGTCGCTTTCACGAGAAGGATGCCACAACGGTCCTGAATCGCTACGAGCAGCAGAGGAGAATCATGAGCCGGCCGCAGCTTGAAAAGCATGCCTTTCATGTAGCATCCTGGCTGGTGCTTCCAGAGGTGAGAAGAAGCCACGGCGATTCCGTGGAGGCGCTGCTGTCCAGGTACTTGGAGTCCTTGGATGGGCAGCCACTTTGCGAGCGCCTGAAAGTGGTTCTGTCACTTGTCTCGGCAAGTTCGGGAGTTGCAGGGCTCTCGGGGTTGCTGGGTAAAGGGCAGAAGAGAAAGGCGGAGATGATGCAGGCAGACGAGCTGGAAAAGCCGGATTCCAGCAAGCCAGTTGATGCGTGCGGTGAAAAGGCTGTGCGGCTGATGCAGAAGGCCAGCCAAACGTGGCAGAACCACCCATGCGAGTTCCGGGAAGTGTACGTGGAGTCTCTGGAGCAGGAGATGCAAGAGGCCGACGGAGCTGAGAACTCGGCCAAGCTGCGCATGGTCCTGCGCCGAGCCGTAGCTGCGCTTTCCCCGCCACGGCGTTTGGGTGATGGATGCGAGGGCAAGATGACGGCATCTATCCCATCCAACGATGAGTGGACGCTGGCCACCAACCTGCAATCCCGGCTTCGCAAAATTGTGCTCCGGTGCCTGGATCGAGTGGACCTGGCAGATTTGCGCGTTGCGCCGGTGCTGCAATGCTTGCAGTCACTGCTCCAAAGGTTTCAGGAGCTTGTCACCGGTGAAAGCAGGATCGCTTGCAAGAAGCAATGGGCTCGGCTTCAAGCCAAGTGTGCGAGCACCGTGCCAACCGAAGCAGCAGCAAGTGCAAAGGGAGCCGAAGATGGTGCTGGCATTTTCAAGCCGGAGTCTTCAGCATCATGCCCCCATGGCAAGCTGAGACGAAGCTGCGCTCAATGCACAGGCTGTCCACATGGCAAGCGGCCTCAACAATGCCCGCAATGCAGTGCCTGCCCGCACGGAAAAGTCAAGCGCAATTGCTCGGAATGCACACCCTGTCCGCATGGCAAGGCAAAACGAATCTGCTCGCAGTGCACGGGATGTCCGCACGGTAAGCAAAAACAATTCTGCCTGCTGTGCAGCGCATGCCCACATGGCAAGATCAAGAGCAGCTGCGTGCAGTGCAGCGCATGCCCACATGGAAAGATCAAGCAGAACTGTGTGCAGTGCAGCGCATGCCCGCACGGCAAGCTGAAGAGGAACTGTCGTATGTGTGCCGAAGCGAGGGGAAAAGTGAACTGCACGCTTTCAGGCTAGTTGCTCCATTGTTTCGCTGTTGCAAAATAACTAGTTAGGCTGGGTCTAGGCGCTCCAGTTGCTGGTGGCTGAAGAGATTTTGCAGCTTGTTGTCATTTCCTTATGGAGGCAAAGACGGTGGTGCCCGTTCGGGGACTCGTGTCAACAAATTCTTGGACCTCTGAAGGAGCGCGGTCCAGGGCTTGAGCTGGCGTGAGCCCCAGGGAACAGCGTTTGGGTTAACAGCTAACATTGGTTGGAATCTGCGATCTTTTGGATTCCCAAAGGGAGGGCCGGCGCACTGAAAGCGTGTCTTACCATTCGGCCGGGAAACTTGGTTCCCGGTCTCTTTGGAAGGGTGTACCGGAAGGCGGAAGTTTGGTCGCCATTCCTGGGGGCATAGAACTTACAAAATGCAAAATCGAACTTGGTAGTTGGCCTTTCCAATGTCCACTTGAGCCGGCGGGTTTGCACCGGAAGGCATCGGAAGGCATCAGTGTGCCCTGCTAGATTTTTGCATTTTGTAAGTTGGCGCAGAGCGGCCTGGGTGGTGCGGAGGCCGCGGGGTTCGCCTCTCGCGAGGCGGGGCCATGGGCCGGTCTAAGGTAGCGGAAGGCAGTCTTCGGGGTTATGGGCATGCCAAGCAAGAAGTCACAAAGAGTCGCAAGAAGTCACAAGAAGTCGCAAGAAGTCACAAGAAGTCGCAAGAAGTCGAGAAGCCAAAGGGCGAGTCACGTTTTACCTGAGGGCCAGGGGTTGTCAGAAGACTCGCTTTGTTCGACTCTTCAAATATTGTCCCGGGAGGTGCTTCACTGAAAGAGGAAAGGAGCAAGTCTTTCAGGCCCACGAACAAGCACTCCGCTCTGCAAAAGAGGGTCCTGAAAATGGGAGGAGCATTGTGGGAAACCACTAAAATAGTGATATATTTTCCCCGAACATTGGGGACTCAGCCAGTGCTCCGCGCTCAGCTGGAATCCAAGAATCACGCATTTGGAGGCTCCCGTCTTGTATGTTCTATCAGGCAAGTGTGACTTGCAGAAGGAAACCACTTTCCCAGCCCCATGGCCTATTTCCTGATTGAAGTGAAGCCAAAGAACCCTAATATTTCACTCCTTGGGGGTTCCTGAAAGCGGAACATGGGCCAAACCCGGACCCCCATCAGGTTCCGTGTCATAAGAACAAATCTGTTTTACTTGCGGGAATGACATTTTACCAGCCACTCTTTGGTGTCAAGTCAGCCTCGTAAGAAAATCCCCCCACGCACGATTCGGGGCAGGGTTTTACCTTGCGATTTGGACTGGAACTTCTCAAGCATGACTCCTGCTTTGGGTGGTCCCAAAGCCATGAAGCTTCCGGTTGGACCAAGGCGTCCCATTGTAGTCATAAAAATCGTGGAAACCTGGTGCTCTCTTGTTTCCCTTCAAATCGTTCAATACCGGGATGCGTTTTCTTGAACCCGTTTACCCCATTTAAGAGGGAACGCAAAGGCACTGCCCTGAGCCATAAACACTTAAAGCTTTTTTTTGCAGCCCAAACTTGCCCTACACGAGTGTTTTGCCGCTGGGCAGGAAATCTGGTGCCGAGTTTATGGTCCAGCTGCTCGACAATTGCGATGCCAGGCCTGTGGGAAATGAGGTTTGACGCCAGCTCACTTTCTTATTTTGAGCCAACACCACATCAATTTGCATGTACCATTTGGCATCATTAGCATTATTGGCATTCAGCAGATTTTGTCAAGCAAAAGGCTCTCAATCATGTGTGAACAGTTTTGGGGTTTCCCAAACAAGTCCCTTCCAAGGCAGACCGCCCGGTCAGGCCTGACGCTCCAGCAAAGCAGCACGTGTTGATCGTCTTGTTCTCATTCAATCAAGAACGGGAGCATTGCCACTATTCTTTTGTCGCAGGAAGCCCAGCTCTCACCCTGCTTTTGGCATTTCTAGGCTTTCACTGCAGCCATTGCATCGAGGGACTGGGCTCCCGTTCCTTCTTGCGTGGTCGTTGTGTCACATGTGCTCCGTGGCATGGCTTCGGCTTTGACTACCGTTTGCCTTGAAGATGAGCTGGCAGCGATGCCTGCACCATGGCGTGACCGAGTGCAGCACCATGCTCGTCGCTTTCACGAGAAGGATGCCACAACGGTCCTGAATCGCTACGAGCAGCAGAGGAGAATCATGAGCCGGCCGCAGCTTGAAAAGCATGCCTTTCATGTGGCATCCTGGCTGGTGCTTCCAGAGGTGAGAAGAAGCCACGGCGATTCCGTGGAGGCGCTGCTGTCCAGGTACTTGGAGTCCTTGGATGGGCAGCCACTTTGCGAGCGCCTGAAAGTGGTTCTGTCACTTGTCTCGGCCAGTTCGGGAGTTGCAGGGTTCTCAGGGTTGCTGGGCAAAGGGCAGAAGAGAAAGGTGGAGATGATGCAAGCAGAAGAGCCAGAAAAGCCGGCTTCCAGCAAGCCAGTTGATGCCTGCGGTGAGAAGGCTTTGCGCCTGATGCAGAAGGCCAGCCAAACGTGGCAGAACCACCCGTCCGAGTGCCGGGAAGCGTACGTGGAGTCTCTGGAGCAAGAGATGCAAGAGGCCGACGGAGCTGAGAACTCGGCCACGCTGCGCATGGTCCTGCGCCGAGCCGTAGCTGCGCTTTCCCCGCCACGGCGTTTGGGTGATGAATGCGAGGGCGAGAACTTGCAATCCCGGCTTCGCAAAATCGTGCTCCGCTGCCTGGATCGAGTGGACTTGGCAGATTTGCGCCTTGCGCCGGCGCAGCAATGCTTGCAGTCACTGCTCCAAACGTTTCAGGAGCTGGTCACCAGTGAAAGCATGATCTCTTGCAAGAAGCAATGGGCTCGGCTACAAGCCAAGTGTGCGAGCACCATGCCACCTGAAGCTCGAAGTTTGGGAGTTGCAGGGCTCTCGGGGTTGCTGGGCAAAGGGCAGAAGAGAAGGGTGGAGTTGATGCAGGCAGACGAGCTGGAAAAGCCGGATTCCAGCAAGCCAGTTGATGCCTGCGGTGAAAAGGCTGTGCGCCTGATGCAGAAGGCCAGCCAAACGTGGCAGAACCACCCGTCCGAGTGCCGGGAAGCGTACGTGGAGTCTCTGGAGCAAGAGATGCAAGAGGCCGACGGAGCTGAGAACTCGGCCAAGCTGCGCACGGTCCTGCGCCAAGCCGTAGCTGCACTATCCCCGCCACGGCGTTTGGGTGATGGATGCGAGGGCAAGTTGCTGGCATCCCACGCATCCAACGACCAGGCGACGCTGGCCACCAACCTGCAATCCCGGCTTCGCAAAATCGTGCTCCGCTGCCTGGATCGAGTGGACCTGGCAGATTTGCGCCTTGCGCCGGTGCTGCAATGCTTGCAGTCACTGCTCCACGCATTTCAGGAGCTGGTCACCAGTGAAAGCACAATCGCTTGCAAGAAGCAATGGGCTCGGCTACAAGCCAAGTGTGCGAGCACCATGCCACCTGAAGCTGGAAGCTCAGGAGTTGCAGGGCTCTCGGGGTTGCTGGGCAAAGGGCAGAAGAGAAAGGCGGAGATGATACAAGCAGAAGAGCCAGAAAAGCCGGATTCCAGCAAGCCAGTTGATGCCTACGTTGACAAGGCTGTGCGGCTGATGCAGAAGGCCAGCCAAACCTGGCAGAACCACCCGTCCGAGTGCCGGGAAGAGTACGTGGAGTCTCTGGAGCAAGAGATGCAAGAGGCCGACGGATCTGAGAACTCGGCCAAGCTGCGCATGGTCCTGCGCCGAGCCGTAGCTGCGCTTTCCCCGCCACGGCGTTTGGGTGACGGATGCGAGGGCAAGACGCCGTCTATCGCATGCAACGACCAGTCGCTGGCCACCAACTTGCAAACCCGGCTTCGCAAAATCGTGCTCCGCTGCCTGGATCGAGTGGACCTGGCAGATGTGCCTCTTGCACCGGTGCTGCAATGCTTGCAGTCGCTGCTCCGAACATTTCAGGAGCTGGTCACCGGTGAAAGCAGGATCGCTTGCAAGAAGCAATGGGCTCGGCTACAAGACAGGTGTGCGAGCACCATGCCACCCGAAGCAGCAGCAAGCTTGTCAGCATGTGCAAAGGGAGCCGAAGATGGTGCTGGCATTGCCAAGCCCGAGTTTTCAGCATCATGCCACCATGGCAAGCTGAGACGAAGCTGCGCTCAATGCAGAGGCTGTCCACATGGCAAGCGGCCTGAACATTGCCAGCAATGCAGTGCCTGCCCGCACGGAAAAGTCAAGCGCAATTGCTCGGAATGCAAACCCTGTCCGCATGGCAAGGCAAAACGAATCTGCTCGCAGTGCACGGGATGTCCGCACGGTAAGAAAAAACAATACTGCCTGCAGTGTAGCGCATGCCCACATGGCAAGATCAAGCGCAACTGCGTGCTGTGCAGCGCATGCCCACATGGAAAGATCAAGCAGAATTGCTTGCAGTGCAGCGCATGCCCACATGGCAAGATTAAGAAGAACTGTGTGCAGTGCAGCGCATGCCCGCACGGCAAGCTGAAGACGAACTGTCGTATGTGTGCCGAAGCGAGGGGAAAAGTGAACTGCACGCTTTCAGGCTAGTTGCTCCATTGTTTTGCCGTTGCAAAATAATTAGTTAGGCTGGGTCTAGGCGCTCCAGTTGCTGGTGGCTGAAGAGATTTTGGAGCTTGTTGTCATTTTGCCCGTGCAAGATTCTTCTTGGCTTCGGGGACTCGTGTCAACAGATTCTTGGACCTCTGAAGGAGCGCGGTCCAGGGGCTTGAGCTGGCGTGAGCCCCAGGGAACAGCGTTTGGGTTGACAGCTAACATTGGTTGGAACCTGCGATCTTTTCGATTCCCAAAGGGAGGGCCGGCGCACTGAAAGCGTGTCTTACCATTCGGCCAGTGCTTCTGCCACAAAGGCGTCCCCAGTCCAGGTCTTCATCTACGTGTTTCACGGGAATTCAAACCTTCAGTTTGCATCTGTCTCTTGATCGCTCGAGCTGGCCAAACTTGGCTCCCGGTCTCTTTGGAAGGGTGTACCGGAAGGCGGAAGTTTGGTCGCCATTCCTGGGGGCATAGAACTTACAAAATGCAAAGATCGAACTTGGTAGTTGGCCTTTCCAATGTCAACTTGAGCCGGAAGGTTTGCACCGGAAGGCATCGGAAGGCATCAGTGTGCCCTGCTAGATTTTTGCATTTTGTATCTTGGCGCAGAGCGGCCTGGGTGGTGCGGAGGCCGCGGGGTTCGCCTCTCGTGAGGCGGGGCCATGGGCCGGTCTAAGGCAACGGAAGGCAGTCTTCGGGGTTATGGGCATGCACAAAGTCACAAGAAGTCGCAAGAAGTCGCAAGAAGTCGCAAGAAGTCGAGAAGCCAAAGGGCGAGTCACGTTTTACCTGAGGGCCGGGGGTTTTCAGAAGACTCGCCTTGTTCGACTCTTCAAATATTGTCCCGGGAGGTGCTTCACTGAAAGAGGAACAGGAGGGTGGCGTTCTCAAAGGCATCACCGTTCTCCAAGTCGAATCTCCTGTCTGGTACCAGTTGGACATCCAGTTGGACCCTGAGGGCAGTGGTTGGCAGACTAAGCAGATCGGATTCGGCCCCGGTTTTAACGTGTTCAAAGAATGCTTGGCCGCTTCTGCCTGGGGTTGCTTTTCAGGTAATGGGCCTCTGATTGTCCGCCTTGCTTTTCGCCCAGGATCAACCTGAAGGGTCTGGTTCTGTTGCTGGCTAGCAGATAGCAGATAGCAGTTGGTCCACAAGGCTTGACCTGAACGCATCCACAGCCAACAGCGATGAACGGCATGCCTTGTTCCAACATTTCGAAGTGGACAATGGGCCTTCCCACTTTGAATATTGTTAGAAACAGGGTATCCTATTCATGTGCACCATGCTCTCCGAGTGACCCTATTGAGATGTCCTTGACTGCCTGAGCGGCTGAGTTTTGACCCATTAAGAAACGGGGGCTGATCAAAAGGTCCTCTACATGGGATGAGCATTGGGTGAAAGCACTCTACATGGGGCGCGCATTGCACTAAAGTGGTGATATTTTCCACGAAATGGGGAAAATTAGCCTGACCCCCGAAACAGACAGTGGCCAGCTCGACCCGAAGCCAAGTCCGCTTGGTTGCTGCAGATCAGTGGGGTACGTGACGGTTTTCCCAGACCCCAAGCAAGGCTTCAGAAATGGCCCAAAATGATCCCTGAGCTCTTGACTTGACATCCTGGGAATGAAAGCGGACTGTTTCCAAGAGGTGGAGGTGCTTGCCAGATGAGTTCTGCGATAAAGACCTGCTTTTGTTCCCGCAATTTTGTCCACAAATATTAGGACACATGTTCTATCATCATCTTTGGCAAGGCAAGTGCGACAAGGAAGCCGCTTTCCCAGCCCCATGGTCCATTTCCCGTTTGAAGTGAAGCCAAACGACCCTAGTATTTCACTTTTTGGGTGTCCCTGAAAGAGGAACATGGGCCAAATCCGGGACCCTTTCAGGTTCCGTGTCAGAAGATAAATCATGCCATCCACTCCTAGGCGTCAAGTGGTAAACCTCATACCAACATCCCTGCGCGCAAGATTTGGGGCAGGGTTTGTGTTGCGATTTGGACTGGAAGCCTTCAAACCTGACTCCGGCTTTTGGTGGTCCCCAAACCATGAAGCTTCCGGTTGGACCAAGGCGTCCATTTGTAGTCATAACATAGTGGAAGCCTGGGCTCTCCTGTTTCCCTTCAAATCGTTCAATACCGGGATGCTTTTTCTTGAGCCCTTTTACACTTTTACTTCTAAGGGACGCAAAGGCACGGCCCGATGCCATGGACACCTAGAGCTTTTTTTGCATCCCAAACTGTTGAAGGAGCTGCATTTGCCCTACACGAGTGTTTTGCCTTCGGTCAGGAGATTTGACGCCCACTTTCCTATTTCGGAATCACTCTCGGTATTTGCAGGCCTATGACAGCGGTATGATCCGAGGTGAAACACAATCAAAAAACGCATTGATTGCATGTACCATTGGCATTCTTATCATCATTGGCATTCAGCAGATTTCGTAAAGTAAATTCCAAACAAGTCCCTTCCAAGGCAGACCACCTGCCTGTCAGGCCTGACGCTCCAGCAAAGCAGCACGTGTTGATCGTCTTGTTCTCATTCAGTCGAGAACGGGAGCATTGCCAGTATTCTTTTGTCGCAGGAAGCCCAGCTCCGATCCTGCTTTTGTCATTTCTAGGCTTTCACTGCAGCCATTGCATCGAGGGACTGGGCTCCCGTTCCTTCTTGCGTGGTCGTTGTGTCACATGTGCTCCGTGGCATGGCTTCGGCTTTGACTACCGTTTGCCTTGAAGATGAGCTGGACCGAGTGGCGTGACCGAGTGCAGCACCATGCTCGTCGCTTTCAGGAGAAGGATGCCACAACGGTCCTGAATCGCTACGAGCAGCAGAGGAGAATCATGAGCCGGCCGCAGCTCGAAAAGCATGCCTTTCATGTGGCATCCTGGCTGGTGCTTCCAGAGGTGAGAAGAAGCCACGGCGGTTCCGTGGAGGCGCTGCTGTCCAGGTACTTGGAGTCCTTGGATGGGCAGCCACTTTGCGAGCTCCTGAAAGTGGTTCTGTCACTTGTCTCGGCAAGTTCGGGAGTTGCAGGGCTCTCGGGGTTGCTGGGTAAAGGGCAGAAGAGAAAGGTGGAGATGATGCAAGCAGAAGAGCCAGAAAAGCCAGATTCCGCCAAGCCAGTTGATGCGTGCGGTGAAAAGGCTGCGAGGCTGATGCAGAAGGCCAGCCAAACGTGGCAGAACCACCCGTCCGAGTTCCGGGAAGTGTACGTGGAGTCTCTGGAGCAGGAGATGCAAGAGGCCGATGGAGCTGAGAACTCGGCCAAGCTGCGCATGGTCCTGCGCCGAGCCGTAGCTGCGCTTTCCCCGCCACGGCGTCTGGGTGATGGGTGCGAGGGCAAGTTGCTGGCATCCCACGCATCCAACGACCAGGCGACGCTGGCCACCAACCTGCAATCCCGGCTTCGCAAAATCGTGCTCTGCTGCCTGGATCGAGTGGACCTGGCAGATTTGCGTCTTGCACCGGTGCTGCAATGCTTGCAGTCACTGCTCCAAAGGTTTCAGGAGCTTGTCACCAGTGAAAGCAGGATCGCTTGCAAGAAGCAATGGGCTCGGCTTCAAGCCAAGTGTGCGAGCACCGTGCCGCCCGAAGCAGCAGCAAGCTTGTCAGCGTGTGCAAAGGGAGCCGAAGATTGTGCTGGCATTGCCAAGCCCAAGTCTTCAGCATCATGCCCCCATGGCAAGGTGAGACGAAGCTGCGCTCAATGCACAGGCTGTCCACATGGCAAGCGGCCTCAACAATGCCCGCAATGCAGTGCCTGCCCGCACGGAAAAGTCAAGCGCAATTGCTCGGAATGCACACCCTGTCTGCATGGCAAGGCAAAACGATTCTGCTCGCAGTGCACGGGATGTCCGCACAGTAAGCAAAAACAATTCTGCCTGCTGTGCAGCGCATGCCCGCACGGAAAGATCAAGCAGAATTGCTTGCAGTGCAGCGCATGCCCACATGGCAAGATCAAGCAGAATTGCTTGCAGTGCAGCGCATGCCCACATGTCAAGATTAAGAAGAACTGTGTGCAGTGCAGCGCATGCCCGCACGGCAAGCTGAAGAGGAACTGTCTTATGTGTGCCGAAGCGAGGGGAAAAGTGAACTGCACGCTTTCAGGCTAGTTGCTCCATTGTTTTGCCGTTGCAAAATAATTAGTTAGGCTGGGTCTAGGCGCTCCAGTTGCTGGTGGCTGGAGAGATTTTGGAGCTTGTTGTCATTTTGCCCGTGCAAGATTCTTCTTGGCTTCGGGGACTCGTGTCAACAGATTCTTGGACCTCTGAAGGAGCGCGGTCCAGGGGCTTGCGCTGGCATGAGCCCCAGGGAACAGCGTTTGGGTTAACAGCTAACATTGGTTGGAACCTGCGATCTTTTCGATTCCCAAAGGGAGGGCCGGCGCACTGAAAGCGTGTCTTACCATTCGGCCAGTGCTTCTGCCACAAAGGCGTTCCCAGTGCAGGTCTCCATCTACATGTTTCACGGGAATTCAATCCTTCAGTTTGCATCCGTCTCTTGATCGCTCGAGCTGGCCAAACTTGTCTTTGGAAGGGTGTACCGGAAGGCGGAAGTTTGGTCGCCATTCCTGGGCATAGAACTTAGAAAATGCAAAGATCGAGCTTGGTAGTTGGCCTTTCCAATGTCAACTTGAGCCGGAAGGTTTGCACCGGAAGGCATCGGAAGGCATCAGTGTGCCCTGCTTGACTTTTGCATTTTGTATCTTGGCGCGGAGCGGCCTGGGTGGTGCGGAGGCCGCGGGGTTCGCCTCTCGTGAGGCGGGGCCATGGGCCGGTCTAAGGCAACGGAAGGCAGTCTTCGGGGTTATGGGCATGCACAAAGTCACAAGAAGTCGCAAGAAGTCGCAAGAAGTCGCAAGAAGTCGCAAGAAGTCGAGAAGCCAAAGGGCGAGTCACGTTTTACCTGAGGGCCGGGGGTTTTCAGAAGACTCGCCTTGTTCGACTCTTCAAATATTGTCCCGGGAGGTGCTTCACTGAAAGAGGAACAGGAGGGTGGCGTTCTCAAAGGCATCGCCGTTCTCCAAGTCGAATCTGCTGTCTGGTACCAGTTGGACATCCAGTTGGACCCCTGAGGGTAGTGGTTGGCAGACTAAGCAGATCGGATTCGGCCCCGTTTTTAAGGAATGAAGGGACATCCCAAAGCTTGTGGTTTAAACATGTTTGAACACGTTCAGGCAATCGGCGGACCCTTGTCGTGCATGCCCAAAAGCCGATTTGAACGTGTTCAAAGAATGCTTGGCCGCTTCTGCCTGTTGCTTTTCAGGTAATGGGCCTCTGATTGACCGCCTTGCTTTTCGCCCAGGATCAACCTGAAGGGTCTGGTTCTGTTGCTGGCTAGCAGATAGCAGTTGGTCCACAAGGCTTGATGTTCTCGGAGTGAGGGCTCCTTTCGTGGTGACAGCCCGAATAGCTTTGGACCTGAGCGCATCCACAGCCAACAGCGATGACCGGCATGCCTTGTTCCAACATTTCGAAGTGGACAATGGGCCTTCCCTCTTTGAATGCTCTCCGAGTGACCCTATTGAGATGTCCTTGACTGCCTGAGCGGCTGAGTTTTGACCCATTAAGAAACGGGGGTTGATCAAAAGGTCCTCTACATGGGATGAGCATTGGGTGAAACCACTCTACATGGGACGCGCATTGGGGCACTAAAGTGGTGATATTTCCACGAAATGGGAAAAGTTAGCCTGAACCCCGAAACAGACAGTGGCCAGCTCGACCCGAAGCCAAGCCCGCTTGGTTGCGGCAGATCAGTGGGATACGTGACGGTTTTCCCAGACCCCAAGCAAGGCTTCAGAAATGGCCCAAAATGACCCCTGAGCTCTTGACTTGGCATCCCGGGAATGAAAGCGGACTTTTTCCAAGAGGTGGAGGTGCTTGCCAGATGAGTTCTGCGATAAAGACCTGCTTTTGTTCCCACAGTTTTGTCCACAAATATTTAGGACACATGTTCTATCATCATCTTTGGCAAGGCAAATGCGACTTGTAGAAGGAAGCCGCTTTCCCAGCCCCATGGTCCATTTCCTGTTTGAAGTGAAGCCAAACGGCCCTGCATTTCACTCCCTGGGGGTCCCTGAAAGAGGAACATGGGCCAAATCCGGGACCCTTTCAGGTTCCGTGTCAGAAGATAAATCATGCTTTACTTGCGGGAATGGCATCTTACCATCCACTCCTAGGCGTCAAGTGGTGAACCTCATACCAACAGGGTTTTGTCTTGCGATTTGGACTGGAAGCCTTCAAACCTGACTCCGGCTTTTTGGTGGTCCCCAAACCATGAAGCTTCCGGTTGGACCAAGGCGTCCATTTGTAGTCATAAAATAGTGGAAGCCTGGGCTCTCCTATTTCCCTTCAATTCGTTCAATACCGGGATGCTTTTTCTTGAGCCCTTTTACACTTTTACTTCTAAGGGACGCAAAGGCACGACCCTATGCCATGGACACTTAGAGCTTTTTTTGCATCCCAAACCCCTGAAGAAGCTGCATTTGCCCTACACGAGTGTTTTGCCTGCGGTCAGGAGATTTGACGCCCACTTTCCTATTTCGGAATCACTCTCGGTATTTGTGACAGCGGTATGATCCGAGGAAACCAAAAACGCATTGATTGCATGTACCATTGGCATTATTATCATCATTGGCATTCAGCAGATTTCGTAAAGTAAATTCCAAAACAAGTCCCTTCCAAGGCAGACCACCTGCCTTCAGGCCTGACGCCCCAGCAAAGCAGCACGTGTTGATCGTCTTGTTCTCATTCAGTCGAGAACGGGAGCATTGCCAGTATTCTTTTGTCGCAGGAAGCCCAGCTCCGACCCTGCTTTGGTCATTTCTAGGCTTTCACTGCAGCCATTGCATCGAGAGACTGGGCTCCCGTTCCTTCTTGCGTGGTCGTTGTGTCACATGTGCTCCGTGGCATGGCTTCGGCTTTGACTACCATCGGCCTTGAAGATGAGCTGGCAGCGATGCCTGCACCATGGCGTGACCGAGTGCAGCACCATGCTCGTCGCTTTCACGAGAAGGATGCCACAACGGTCCTGAATCGCTACGAGCAGCAGAGGAGAATCATGAGCCGGCCGCAGCTCGAAAAGCATGCCTTTCATGTGGCATCCTGGCTGGTGCTTCCAGAGGTGAGAAGAAGCCATGGCGATTCCGTGGAGGCGCTGCTGTCCAGGTACTTGGAGTCCTTGGATGGGCAGCCACTTTGCCACTTTGCGAGCGCCTGAAAGTGGTTCTGTCACTTGTCTCGGCAAGTTCGGGAGTTGCAGGGCTCTCGGGGTTGCTGGGTAAAAGGCAGAAGAGAAAGGTGGAGATGATGCAAGCAGAAGAGCCAGAAAAGCCAGATTCCGCCAAGCCAGTTGATGCGTGCGGTGAAAAGGCTGTGCGCCTGATGCAGAAGGCCAGCCAAACGTGGCAGAACCACCCGTCCGAGTGCCGGGAAGCGTACGTGGAGTCTCTGGAGCAAGAGGTGCAAGAGGCCGACGGAGCTGAGAACTCGGCCAAGCTGCGCATGGTCCTGCGCCGAGCCGTAGCTGCGCTTTCCCCGCCACGGCGTTTGGGTGATGGGTGCGAGGGCAAGTTGCTGGCATCCCACGCATCCAACGACCAGGCGACGCTGGCCACCAACCTGCAATCTCGACTTCGCAAAATCGTGCTCCGCTGCCTGGATCGAGTGGACATGGCAGATTTGCGTCTTGCACCGGTGCTGCAATGCTTGCAGTCACTGCTCCAAAGGTTTCAGGAGCTTGTCACCGGTGAAAGCAGGATCGCTTGCAAGAAGCAATGGGCTCGGCTTCAAGCCAAGTGTGCGAGCACCGTGCCGCCCGCAGCAGCAGCAAGCTTGTCAGCGAGTGCAAAGGGAGCCGAAGATTGTGCTGGCATTGCCAAGCCCGAGTCTTCAGCATCATGCCCCCATGGCAAGGTGAGACGAAGCTGCGCTCAATGCACAGGCTGTCCACATGGCAAGCAGCCTCAACAATGCCCGCAATGCAGTGCCTGCCCGCACGGAAAAGTCAAGCGCAATTGCTCGGAATGCACACCCTGTGCGCATGGCAAGGCAAAACGAATCTGCTTGCAATGCACGGGATGTCCACACGGAAAGCAAAAAAAGTACTGCCTGCAGTGCGGCGCATGCCCGCACGGCAAGATCAAGAGCAACTGCTTGCAGTGCAGCGCATGCCCACATGGAAAGATCAAGCAGAATTGCTTGCAGTGCAGCGCATGCCCACATGGCAAGATCAAGCAGAATTGCTTGCAGTGCAGCGCATGCCCGCACGGCAAGACCAAGCGAAACTGCTTGCAGTGCAGTGCATGCCCACATGGCAAGATCAAGAGCAACTGCTTGCAGTGCAGCGCATGCCCACATGGAAAGATCAAGCAGAATTGCTTGCAGTGCAGCGCATGCCCACATGGCAAGATCAAGCAGAATTGCTTGCAGTGCAGCGCATGCCCGCACGGCAAGACCAAGCGAAACTGCTTGCAGTGCAGTGCATGCCCACATGGCAAGATCAAGAACAACTGCTTGCAGTGCAGCGCATGCCCACATGGAAAGATCAAGCAGAATTGCTTGCAGTGCAGCATGCCCACATGGCAAGATCAAGCAGAATTGCTTGCAGTGCAGCGCATGCCCGCACGGCAAGACCAAGCGAAACTGCTTGCAGTGCAGTGCATGCCCACATGGCAAGATCAAGAACAACTGCGTGCAGTGCAGCGCATGCCCGCACGGCAAGCTGAAGAGAAATTGTCGTATGTGTTCCGAAGCGAGGGGAAAAGTGAACTGCACGCTTTCACTCTAGTTGCTCCATTGCAAAATAATTAGTTCGGCTGGGTTTAGGCGATCCAGTTGCGGTTGGCTGAAGAGACTTTGGAGCTTGTTGTCTTTCCTTATGGAGGCAAAGGCGGTGCCCCTGCAAGATTCTTCTTGGCTTCGGTGGACTTGTTTGGAATTTCAACAAATTGTTGGACCGGGCTTGTGAGCCCTAAGGAACGGCGTGTGGGTTGACAGTTAATATTGGTTTGAATTTGAGATTTTTGTGAATGCCCAAAAAAGGGCGGCATACTGAAAACGTGTCTCACAATTCGGCTTCCCCAGTCCAGGTGTCCATCTATATGTTTGATTGGAAGTGACACCTTCAGTTTTGCATCCGTCTCTTGATCACTCGAGCTGGCCAAACTTGGTTCCCTGGAAGGGTGTACCGGCAGGCGGAAGTTGGGTAGCCAGTCTTTGGGGGCATAGAACTTGCGAAATGCAAAAATCGAACTTGGCAGTTAGCCTTTCCAATGTCCACTTGAGCCGGCGGGTTTGCGCATGCCTTTGAGGCACCAGAGGCAGAAACGCGCCGAATCCGCGGCTCGTGGATGTTGAGGGCCTGGGCTCTCGTAATCGTTGAATACCGGAATGACACGACTTTAGCCGGGGACCCCTTCAGATGAGCCATGTCAGAAGAAGAAACATGGTGCTTTTTCCCCACCCGACAGGAAGGGGTTGTTAGATTTTATGTTGGAATCCGCGGCTCGTGGATGTTTTCCCGGGGTGCTGGCTGGGCTTTCGGAATCGTTGAATACTGGAATGACTTTCGCCGGATCATTTTTCAGGTCCATGTCAGAAGAAGAGACACGCGGCGTGTTATTTTTTGGAATGAGACTTTGCGGACCATCCTTCGGCCTTTGCGCCCAGCCCGGCGCCAGGCCTCGCGGAGGCCGCGGGGCCTCGCGGAGTTCGTGAGGGGCCACGGGCCAGTCTAAGGTAACGGAAGGCAGTCTTCGGGGTATGCTTCTGAAAACGCAAAACAAGAAAGACGTCACAATCCTAATAAGTCGCAAGAAGTCGCAAGAAGTCGCAAGAAGTCGCAAGAAGTCGCAAGAAGTCGCAAGAAGTCGCAAGAAGTCGCAAGAAGTCGCAAGAAGTCGCAAGAAGTCGAGAAGCCAAAGGGCGAGTCACGTTTTACCTGAGGGCCGGGGGTTTTCAGAAGACTCGCCTTGTTCGACTCTTCAAATATTGTCCCGGGAGGTGCTTCACTGAAAGAGGAACAGGAGGGTGGCGTTCTCAAAGGCATCGCCGTTCTCCAAGTCGAATCTCCTGTCTGCTACCAGTTGCACATCAGTTGGACCCCCTGAGGGCAGTGGTTGGCGGACTAAGCAGATCGGATTCGGCCCCGTTTTTAAGGATTGAAGGGACATCGCAAAGCTTGTTGTTTAAATATGTTTGAACATGTTCAGGCAATCGGCCGACCCTTGTCGTGCATGCCCAAAAGCCGATTTGAACGTGTTCAATTAATGCTTGGCCGCTTCTGCCTGTTGCTTTTCAGGTAATGGGCCTCTGATTGACCGCCTTGCTTTTCGCCCAGGATCAACCTGAAGGGTCTGGTTCTGTTGCTGGCTGGCAGATAGCAGTTGGTCCACAAGGCTTGACCTGAACGCATCCACAGCCAACAGCGATGAACGGCATGCTTTGTTCCAACATTTCGAAGTGGACAATGGGCCTTCCCACTTTGAAGATTGTTAGAAACAGGGGATCCTATTCATGTGCACCATGCTCTCCGAGTGACCCTATTGAGATGTCCTTGACTGCCTGAGCGGCTGAGTTTTGATCCATTAAGAAACGGGGGGTTGATCAAAAGGTCCTCTACATGGGATGAGCATTGTCTGCAACCACTCTACATTGGATGCGCATTGCACTAAAGTGGTGATACTTTCCACGAAATGGGAAAAGTTAGCCTGAACCCCAAAACAGACAGTGGCCAGCTCGACCCGAAGCCAAGCCCGCTTGGTTGCGGCAGATCAGTGGGGTACGTGACGGTTTTCCCAGACCCCAAGCAAGGCTTCAGAAATGGCCCAAAATGACCCCTGAGCTCTTGACTTGACATCCCGGGAATGAAAGCGGACTGTTTCCAAGGGGTGGAGGTGCTTGCCAGATGAGTTCTGCGATAAAGACCTGCTTTTTTCCCACAACTTTGTCCACAAATATTTGGGACACATGCTCTATCATCATGTTTGGCAATGCAAATGTGACTTGTAGAAGGTTTTTGCGCTTTTTTTTCTGCCTGGGATTCAGGTTAATTTGCCTAATGGGACGGAATTATATATACCCCATGGTCCATTTCCTGTTTGAAGTGAAGCCAAACGACCCTAGTATTCACTCCCTGGGGGTCCCTGAAAGAGGAACATGGGCCAAATCCGGGACCCTTTCAGGTTCCGTGTCAGAAGATAAATCATGCTTTACTTGCGGGAATGACATTTTACCGTCCACTCCTAGGCGTCAAGTGGTAAACCTCATACCAACATCCCTGCGCGCAAGATTTGGGGCAGGGTTTTGTCTTGCGATTTGGACTGGAAGCCTTCAAACCTGACTCCGGCTTTTGGTGGTCCCCAAACCATGAAGCTTCCGGTTGGACCAAGGCGTCCATTTGTAGTCATAACATAGTGGAAGCCTGGGCTCTCCTGTTTCCCTTCAAATCGTTCAATACCGGGATGCTTTTCTTGAGCCCTTTTACACTTTTACCCCCTCTAAGGGACGCAAAGGCACGACCCTATGCCATGGACACTTAGAGCTTTTTTTGCATCCCAAACCCCTGAAGAAGCTGCATTTGCCCTACACGAGTGTTTTGCCTTGGGTCAGGAGATTTGACGTCGAGTCAGCTGCTCGACAATTGCGCCAGGCCTGTGGGAAATGGGGTTTGAGGCCAGCCCGGCCAGCCCACTTTCTTATTTCGGAATCACTCTCGGTATTTGCAGGCCTATGACAGCGGTATGATCCGAGGAGGTGAAACACAAACAAAAACGCATTGATTGCATGTACCATTGGCATTATTAGCATCATTGGCAGTCAGCAGATTTCGTAAAGTAAATTCCAAAACAAGTCCCTTGCAAGGCAGACCACCTGCCGGTCAGGCCTGACGCTCCAGCAAAGCAGCACGTGTTGATCGTCTTGTTCTCATTCAGTCAAGAACGGAGCATTGCCAGTATTCTTTTGTCGCAGGAAGCCCAGCTCCGATCCTGCTTTTTCTCATTTCTAGGTTTTGACTGCAGCCATTGCATCGAGGGACTGGGCTCCCGTTCCTTCTTGCGTGGTCGTTGTGTCTCGGCTTTGACTACCGTTTGCCTTGAAGATGAGCTGGCAGCGATGCCTGCACCATGGCGTGACCGAGTGCAGCACCATGCTCGTCGCTTTCACGAGAAGGATGCCACAACGGTCCTGAATCGCTACGAGCAGCAGAGGAGAATCATGAGCCGGCCGCAGCTCGAAAAGCATGCCTTTCATGTGGCATCCTGGCTGGTGCTTCCAGAGGTGAGAAGAAGCCACGGCGATTCCGTGGAGGCGCTGCTGTCCAGGTACTTGGAGTCCTTGGATGGGCAGCCACTTTGCGAGCGCCTGAAAGCGGTTCTGTCACTTGTCTCGGCAAGTTCGGGAGTTGCAGGGCTCTCGGGGTTGCTGGGTAAAAGGCAGAAGAGAAAGGTGGAGATGATGCAAGCAGACGAGCCAGAAAAGCCGGATTCCGCCAAGCCAGTTGATGCGTGCCGTGAAAAGGCTGTGCGGCTGATGCAGAAGGCCAGCCAAACGTGGCAGAACCACCCGTCCGAGTGCCGGGAAGCGTACGTGGAGTCTCTGGAGCAAGAGGTGCAAGAGGCCGACGGAGCTGAGAACTCGGCCAAGCTGCGCATGGTCCTGCGCCGAGCCGTAGCTGCACTTTCCCCGCCTCGGCGTTTGGGTGATGGATGCGAGGGCAAGTTGCTGGCATCCCACGCATCCAACGACCAGTCGACGCTGGCCACCAACCTGCAATCTCGGCTTCGCAAAATCGTGCTCCGCTGCCTGGATCGAGTGGACATGGCAGATTTGCGTCTTGCGCCGGTGCTGCAATCCTTGCAGTCACTGCTCCAAACGTTTCAGGAGCTGGTCACCAGTGAAAGCACAATCGCATGCAGGAGGCAATGGGCTCGGCTACAAGCCAAGTGCGCCAGCACCATGCCACCTGAAGCTGGAAGCTCGGGAGTTGCAGGGCTCTCGGGGTTGCTTGGCAAAGGGCAGAAGAGAAAGGTGGAGATGATGCAGGCAGACGAGCTGGGAAAGCCGGATTCCAGCAAGCCAGTTGATGCCTGCGGTGAGAAGGCTTTGCGCCTGATGCAGAAGGCCAGCCAAATGTGGCAGAACCACCCTTCCGAGTGCCGGGAAGCGTACGTGGAGTCTCTGGAGCAAGAGGTGCAAAAGGCCGACGGAGCTGAGAACTCGGCCAAGCTGCGCATGGTCCTGCGCCGAGCCGTAGCTGCGCTTTCCCCGCCACGGCGTTTGGGTGACGGATGCGAGGGCAAGACGCCGTCTATCGCATGCAACGACCAGTCGCTGGCCACCAACTTGCAAACCCGGCTTCGCAAGATCGTGCTCCACTGCCTGGATCGAGTGGACCTGGCAGATGTGCGTCTTGCACCGCTGCTGCAATGCTTGCAGTCGCTGCTCCGAACATTTCAGGAGCTGGTCACCGGTGAAAGCAGGATCGCTTGCAAGAAGCAATGGGCTCGGCTACAAGTCAAGTGTGCGAGCACCATGCCACCCGAAGCAGCAGCAAGCTTGTCAGCATGTGCAAAGGGAGCCGAAGATGGTGCTGGCATTGTCAAGCCCGAGTCTTCAGCATCATGCCCCCATGGCAAGCTGAGACGAAGCTGCGCGCAATGCAGAGGCTGTCCACATGGCAAGCGGCCTGAACATTGCCCACAATGCAGTGCCTGCCCGCACGGTAAGCTCAAACATTTGTGCCTGCAGTGCAGCGCATGCCCGCACGGAAAAGTCAAGCACAACTGCTCGGAATGCAAACCGTGCCCGCACGGAAAAGTCAAGCGCAATTGCGTGCAGTGCACGGGATGCCCACACGGCAAGGAAAAACGCATGTGCTTGCAGTGCAGCGCATGCCCGCACAGAAAGACCAAGCGCAACTGCTTGCAGTGCAGCGCATGCCCACATGGCAAGATCAAGAACAACTGCGTGCAGTGCAGCGCATGTCCGCACGGCAAGCTGAAGAGGAATTGTCGTATGTGTGCTGAAGCGAGGGGAAAAGTGAACTGCACGCTTTCAGGCTAGTTGCTCCATTGTTTCGCTGTTGCAAAATAATTAGTTAGGCTGGGTCTAGGCGCTCCAGTTGCTGGTGGCTGAAGAGATTTTGGAGCTTGTTGTCATTTTGCCCGTGCAAGATTCTTCTTGGCTTCGGGGACTCGTGTCAACAGATTCTTGGACCTCTGAAGGAGCGCGGTCCAGGGCTTGAGCTGGCGTGAGCCCCAGGGAACAGCGTTTGGGTTATTTGGGTTAACAGCTAACATTGGTTGGAACCTGCGATCTTTTCGATTCCCAAAGGGAGGGCCGGCGCACTGAAAGCGTGTCTTACCATTCGGCCAGTGCTTCTGCCACAAAGGCGTTCCCAGTGCAGGTCTCCATCTACATGTTTCACGGGAATTCAACCTTCAGTTTGCATCCGTCTCTTGATCGCTCGAGCTGGCCAAACTTGGTTCCCGGTCTCTTTGGAAGGGTCGCCATTCCTGGGGCATAGAGCTTACAAAATGCAAAAATCGAACTTGGTAGTTGGCCTTTCCAATGTCAACTTGCCTTCCGGCGGGTTTGCACCGGAAGGCAGAAGGCCTGGGAGGTGCGGAGGCCGCGGGCTTCGCCTCTCGTGAGGCGGGGCCATGGGCCGGTCTAAGGTAACGGAAGGCAGTCTTCGGTGTTATGGGCATGCACGAAGTCACAAGAAGTCGCAAGAAGTCACAAGAAGTCGCAAGAAGTCGAGAAGCCAAAGGGCGAGTCACGTTTTACCTGAGGGCCGGGGGTTTTCAGAAGACTCGCCTTATTCGACTCTTCAAATATTGTCCCGGGAGGTTCTTCACTGAAAGAGGAACAGGAGGGTGGCGTTCTCAAAGGCATCACCGTTCTCCAAGTTCAATCTCCTGTCTGGTACCAGTTGGACATCCAGTTGGACCCCTGAGGGGTTCTGTTGCTGGCTACGTGTCCGAGATCTGGCCGGCTGACGCCCAGAAGGCCGGGTCTGAGTTTAGTCTCCTGGGGTCCAAGTCGGAAGCTGGGAGGCGGTCAGCTGGGACTTTCATGGCAAAAGCCTGAAGCCAGCTTGCGTTCTGTTGTGAGAGGAGCAAATCTTTCAGGTCCTCGAACAAGCAGAACGCTCTGCAAAAGAGGGTAAACCAGATAGAGGTTAGTCCACAAGGCTCGATGTTTGCAGAATGAGGGTTGCTTTCGCGGTGACGGCCGGAATACCTTTGTGTTCTGGGGGCTGTGCCAACGGCAATGAACGGCACGCCTTGTTCCAACATTTCGAAGTGGACAATGCGCCTTGTCACTTTGAAGACTGTTGGAAACAGGGGATCCTATTCATGTGCACCATGCTCTCCGAGTGACCCTATTGAGATGTCCTTGACCGCCTGAGTTCTGAGTTTCAGCCTCGAAGGGCTTTGCATGACCCTTCGAGAAACGGGGGTTGATCAAAAGGTCCTGAAAATGGGAGGAGCAGTGTGGGAAACCACTAAAAGAGTGATATATTTTCCCCAAACATTGGGGACTCAGCCAGTGCTCCCCTTTTGGATGGCGCTCAGCTGGAATCCAAGAATCACGCACTTGGAGGCTCCCGTCTTGTATGTTCTATCAGGCAAGTGCGACTTGCAGAAGGAAACCACTTTCCCAGTCCCATGGCCTATTTCCTGATTGAAGTGAAGCCAAAGAACCCTAATATTTCACTCCTTACAGGGTTCCTGAAAGAGGAACATGGGCCAAACCCGGACCCCCATCAGGTTCCGTGGCAGAAGAACAAATCTGTTTTACTTGCGGGAATGACATTTTACCAGCCACTCTTTGGTGTCAAGTCAGCCTCGTAAGAAAATCCCCACACGCACGATTCGGGGCAGGGCTTTACCTTGCGATTTGGACTGGAACTTCTCAAGCATGACTCCTGCTTTGGGTGGTCCCAAAGCCATGAAGCTTCCGGTGTTTCGGTTGAACCAAGGCGTCCCATTGTAGTCATAAAATCGTGGAAACCTGGTGCTCTCTTGTTTCCCTTCAAATCGTTCAATACCGGGATGCGTCTTCTTGAGCCCGTTTACCCCTTTTAATAGGGGACGCAAAGGCACTGCCCTGTGCCATAAACACTTAGAGCTTTTTTTTGCAGCCCAAACTTGCCCTACACGAGTGTTTTGCCGCCGGGCAGGAGATCTGGTGCTGAGTTTATGGTCCAGCTGCTTGACAATTGCGATGCCAGGCCTGTGGGAAATGAGGTTTGACGCCAGCCCGCTTTCTTATTTTGAACTAAAACGACATCAATTGCATATACCATTTGGCATTCTTAGCATGATTGGCATTCAGCAGATTTCGTCAAGCAAAAGGCTCTTAATCATGTGTGAACAGTTTTGGGGTTTCCCAAACAAGTCCCTTCCAAGGCAGACCGCCCGGTCAGGCCTGACGCTCCAGCAAAGCAGCACGTGTTGATCGTCTTGTTCTCATTCAGTCAAGAACGGAGCATTGCCAGTATTCTTTTGTCGCAGGAAGCCCAGCTCTCACCCTGCTTGTGGCATTTCTGTGCTCCGTGGCATGGCTTCGGCTTTGTTTACCATCGGCCTTGACAATGAGTTGGCAGCGATGCCTGCACCATGGCGTGACCGAGTGCAGCACCATGCTCGGCGCTTTCAGGAGAAGGACGCCACAACGGTCCTGAATCGCTACGAGCAGCAGAGGAGAATCATGAGCCGGCCGCAGCTTGAAAAGCATGCCTTTCATGTGGCATGCTGGCTGGTGCTTCCAGAGGTGAGAAGAAGCCATGGCGATTCCGTGGAGGCACTGCTGTCCAGGTACTTGGAGTCGTTGGATGCGCAGCCAGTTTGCGAGCGCCTGAAAGCGGTTCTGTCACTTGTCTCGACAAGTTCGGGAGTTGCAGGGCTCTCGGGGTTGCTGGGCGAAGGGCAGAAGAGAAAGGCGGAGATGATGCAAGCAGACGGGCTGGAAAAGACGGATTCCAGCAAGCCAGTGGATGCCTGCGTTGACAAGGCTGTGCGGCTAATGCAGAAGGCCAGCCAAACGTGGCAGAACCACCCGTCCGAGTGCAGGGAAGCGTACGTGGAGTCTCTGGAGCAAGAGATGCACGAGGCCGACGGAGCTGAGAACTCGGCCAAGCTGCGCATGGTCCTGCGCCGAGCCGTAGCTGCACTATCCCCGCCACGGCGTTTGGGTGATGGATGCGAGGGCAAGTCTATCGCATCCAACGACCAGGCGACGCTGGCCACCAACCTGCAATCTCGGCTTCGCAAAGTCGTGCTCCGCTGCCTGGATCGAGTGGACATGGCAGATTTGCGCCTTGCGCCGGTGCAGCAATGCTTGCAGTCACTGCTCCACACATTTCAGCTGCTGGTCACGAGTGAAAGCATGATCGGATGCAGGAAGCAATGGGCTCGGCTACAAGCCAAGTGTGCAAGCACCATGCCACCCCAAGCAGCAGCAAGTGCAAAGGGAGCCGAAGATGGTGCTGGCATCGTCAAGCCGGAGTCTTCAGCATCATGCCCCCATGGCAAGCTGAGACGAAGCTGCGCGCAATGCCGAGGCTGTCCACATGGCAAGTGGGCTCACAATTGCCCGCAATGCAGTGCCTGCCCGCACGGTAAGCTCAAACATTTGTGCCTGCAGTGCAGCGCATGCCCGCACGGAAAAGTCAAGCACAACTGCTCGGAATGCAAACCGTGCCCGCACGGAAAAGTCAAGCGCAATTGCGTGCAGTGCACGGGATGCCCACACGGCAAGGAAAAACGCATGTGCTTGCAGTGCAGCGCATGCCCGCACGGAAATGTCAAGCGCAACTGCGTGCAGTGCAGCGCATGCCCACATGGCAAGATCAAGAGCAGCTGCGTGCAGTGCAGCGCATGCCCACATGGAAAGATCAAGCAGAACTGTGTGCAGTGCAGCGGATGCCGGCACGGCAAGGTGAAGAGGAACTGTCGTATGTGTGCCGAAGCGAGGGGAGAAGTGAACTGCACGCTTTCAGGCTAGTTGCTCCATTGTTTCGCTGTTGCCAAATAATTAGTTAGGCTGGGTGTAGGCGCTCCAGTTGCTGGTGGCTGAAGAGATTTTGGGGCTTGTTGTCATTTCCTGGAGGCAAAGACTGTGCTGCCCCTGCAAGATTCTTGTTGGCTTCGGAATCCCAACGAATTCTTGGACCTCCGAAGGAGCGAGGTCCAGGGCTTGAGCTGGCGTGAGCCCCACGGAACAACGTTTGGGTTAACAGCTATCATTGGTTGGAACCTGCGAGCTTTTCGATTCCCAAAGGGAGGGCCGGCGCACTGAAAGCGTGTCTTACCATTCGGCCAGTGCTTCTGCCACAAAGGCGTCCCCAGTCCAGGTCTCCATCTACACGTTTAACGGGAAATCAATTTTGAATCCGTCTCTTGATCGCTCGAGCTGGCCAAACTTGGTTCCCAGTTTCTTTGAAAGGGTGTACCGGAAGGCAGCGGAAGTTTGGTAGCTAGTCTTTGGGGTGTGGAACTTACAAATTGCAAATCGAGCTCGGTAGTTGGCTTTTCCATTGTCAACTTGAGCCGGCAGGTTTGCACATGCTTAGAGGCACCAGACACAGAAACGCGGCGAATCCGCGGCTCATGGATGTTGGGGGCTTGGCTGGGCCCTCGTAATCCTTGAATACCGGAATGGCATGACTTTAGCCGGGCACCCCTTCAGATGAGAAGAAGAAACATGGTGGTTTTTTTGGAATGAGACTTTGCTGACCATTCATTAGACATTTCGTGGTTCGGCTCATACCAATATCCCCACGAGATTCAGATCCGGATTGCCCCTCTGACGGCGGAGGCCGCGGAGCCTCTCGTGAGTCGGGGCCATGGCCCGGTCTCAGGCAGCGGAAGGCAGTCTGTGGGGTATGCTTATGAAAACGCAAAACAAGAAGTCACAAATCACAAGAAGTCACAAGTCACAAGAAGTCACAAGAAGTCACAAGAAGTCACAAGAAGTCACAAGAAGTCACAAGAAGTCACAAGAAGTCACAAGAAGTCACAAGAAGTCACAAGAAGTCACAAGTCACAAGAAGTCGCAAGAAGTCGCAAGAAGTCGCAAGAAGTCACAAGAAGTCACAAGAAGTCGCAAGAAGTCACAAGAAGTCGCAAGAAAACGCAAGAAGTCACAAGAAGTCACAAGAAGTCACAAGAAGTCACAAGAAGTCACAAGAAGTCACAAGTCACAAGAAGTCACAAGTGACAAGAAGTCACAATAAGTCGCAAGAAGTCACAAGAAGTCACAAGAAGTCACAAGAAGTTGCAAGAAGTCACAAGAAGTCGCAAGAAGTCACAAGAAGTCGCAAGAAGTCACAAGAAGTCACAAGAAGTCGCCAGAAGTCACAAGTCACAAGAAGTCGCAAGAAGTCACAAGAAGTCACAAGAAGTCGCAAGAAGTCACAAGAAGTCACAAGTCACAAGAAGTCACAAGAAGTCACAAGAAGTCACAAGAAGTCACAGGTCACAAGAAGTCGCAAGAAGTCACAAGAAGTCACAAGAAGTTGCAAGAAGTCACAAGAAGTCGCAAGAAGTCACAAGAAGGCACAAGAAGTCACAAGTCACAAGAAGTCGCGAGAAGTCACAAGAAGTCACAAGAAGTCACAAGTCACAAGAAGTCACAAGAAGTCACAAGAAGTCACAAGAAGTCACAAGAAGTCACAAGAAGTCACAAGTCACAAGAAGTCGCAAGAAGTCACAAGTCACAAGAAGTCGCAAGAAGTCGCAAGAAGTCGCAAGAAGTCGCAAGAAGTCGCAAGAAGTCACAACAAGTCACAAGAAGTCACAAGTCACAAGAAGTCGCAAGAAGTCACAAGAAGTCACAAGAAGTCGCAAGAAGTCACAAGAAGTCACAAGAAGTCACAAGAAGGCGCAAGAAGTCACAAGAAGTCACAAGAAGTCGCAAGAAGTCACAAGAAGTCACAAGAAGTCACAAGAAGTCACAAGAAGTCACAAGAAGTCACAAGAAGTCACAAGAAGTCACAAGAAGTCACAAGAAGTCACAAGTCACAAGAAGTCGCAAGAAGTCACAAGTCACAAGAAGTCACAAGAAGTCACAAGAAGTCGCAAGAAGTCACAAGTCACAAGAAGTCACAAGAAGTCACAAGAAGCCACAAGAAGTCACAAGAAGTCACAAGAAGTCACAAGTCACAAGAAGTCGCAAGAAGTCGCAAGAAGTCACAAGAAGTCACACGTCACAAGAAGTCGCAAGAAGTCACAAGAAGTCACAAGAAGTCACAAGAAGTCGCAAGAAGTCGCAAGAAGTCGAGAAGCCAAAGGGCGAGTCGCTATGGCCTGAGGTCAGATGAAGGCTCGCCTTGTTCGACTCCTCAAGTATCCCCGGAGGTTCGCGGAGAAATGAACAGGAGGGTGGTGTTCTCAGTAGCATTGCCGTTTTCCAAGTCGAATCTCCTGTCTGGTACCAGTTGGACATCCAGTTGGCAGACTAAGCAGATCGGCTTCGGCCCCTTTTGAAGGAAAATGAAGGGACATCCCAAAGCTTGTGGTTTAAACATGTTTGAACATGTTCAGGCAGTTGGCCGACCCTGGTCGCGGCCATGCCCTAAAGCATGTTCATAGAATGCTTGGCCGGCCTGGGGGTTTCTTTTCGCACAATGGGCCTCTCTGATTGACCGCCTTTCTTTTCGCCCAGGATCAACCTGAAAGGTCTGGTTCTGTTGCTGGCTACGGTCCGACATATGGCCGGCCGACGCCCGGAAGGCCGGGCAGTTTGCAGGTCTGAGCCCTGGAAGTCGGATGAAGCCAGCTTGCGTTCTGGTGAAAGGAGCAAATCTTGGCCCTCCAACAAGCACAACGCTCTGTAAAAGATGGCAAAACAGAGAGCAGTTGGTCCACAAGGCTCGATGTTCGCGGAATGAGGGCCCCTTTCGCGGTGACGGCCGGAATAGCTGTGGACCTGAGCGCATCCACAGCCAACAGCGATGAACGGCATGCCTTGTTCCAACATTTCGAAGTGGAGAATAGGCCTTCCCACTTCGAAGATTGGTAGAAACAGGGTATCCTATTCATGTGCACCATGCTCTCCGAGTGACCCTATTGAGATGTCCTTGACCGCCTGAGCGGAGGGCTTGGCGTGATCCTTTGAGCAACGGGGGTTGATCAAAAGGTCCTCTGCATGGGATGAGCATTGCGGGAAATCACTACAAGAGTGATATATTTTCCAGTAAATGGGAAAAGTTACCCTGAACCCCGAAATGTCCAGCGCACAGACCGCTTCACTCTCCCTTGACACACGCCTAGTGAATGCCCTTCTAGTGGCCTCGACCCGAAGCCACGCCAAAAGGACTTCGATCTCGAAGTGGTCTCAGAAATGGCCCGACATTAGCCAAGAGGGCGGGTGAAACGACGCGCTGGAGACTTTTGAGCTCTCTCGACATCTGGAATCAAAGCGGACTTTTTCCAAGGGGTGGAGGTGCTTGGCGGAGTTCTGCGACAAGACCCGGGTACTGGCTCAGAAAGGCTTTTCCCACTCATTTGTCCAAACATTGGTAATTTCCGAGTGATTTCTTTTTGGATGGCGCTCAGCTGGAAACCAAGAATAAACCGCGCATGTGGAGGCTCCCGTCATGTAGGACACATGCTGTCATCATCTTTGGCAAGGAAAATGCGACTTGTAGCGATGAACCGCTTTCCCAGACCCATGGCCTATTTCCTGTTTGAAGCGAAGCCAACACCCTCGTATTTTCACTCCTTGGGGGTCCCTGAAGGAGGAACACGGGCCAAACCCGGACCCCCATCAGGTTCCATGTCAGAAGACAAATCATGGTTTACTTGCAGGAATGACATTTTACCAGCCACTCTTTGGCCTCAAGTGGTTAATCTCATAAGAATATCCCCCACACGCGCGATTCGGGGCAGGGTTGTGCGTTGTGATTTGGACTGGCAGCATTCCAACCTGACTCCGGCTTTTGGTCCCGAAACCATGAAGCTTCCGGCTGACCTATTGTGGAAACCTGGTGCTCTCCTGTTTCCCTTCTTGAACCCGTTTACCCCTTTTAAGAGGGGACGCAAAGGCACTGCCCTGAGCCATGGACACTAAAAGCTTTTTTGCAGGCCCAAACTTGCCCTACGCGAGTGTGTTGCCGCCGGGGCAGGAATCTGGCGTCGAGTCCATAGTCCAGCTGCTCGACAATTGCGATGCCAGGCCTGTGGGAAATGAGGTTTGACGCCAGCTCACTTTCCTATTTCGAACCAAAACCACATCAATTGTACCATTTGGCATCATTAGCATTATTGGCATTCAGCAGATTTCGTCAAGCAAAAGGCTCTCAATCATGTGTGAACAGTTTTGGGGTTTCCCAAGCAAGTCCCCTCCAAGGTAGACCGCCCGGTCAGGCCTGACGCTCCAGCAAGGCAGCACGTGTTGATCGTCTTGTTCTCATTCAGTCAAGAACGGGAGCATTGCCAGTATCCTTTTGACCCAGGAAGCCCAGCTCCGACCCCAAGCACTTTCTGCTTTTTGTCATTCAGCCTCGAAGAGCTTGGCATGACCCTTTGAGAACCGGGGGTTGATCAAAAGGTCCTCTACATGGGATGAGCATTGGGCGACACCAGTGACAAAGTGCTACTTTCCACTAAATTGAGAAGTTGCCCCAGAGGCGAGCTCAACCCGACACCAATGGACCAAGCCCGTTTGGTCGCCGATGGGTGGGATAACGGACCGGACAAGGAAGGCCTCAGAAACGCCGGAGATTGAGCTCTTGACATTGGAGTCAAAGCGGACCTCTTCCAAGGGCTGGATGGCGGAGTGCGACGAGACCCGGGTGGCCACATTTGTCCAAACATTGGGAGCCCACCGAGTGATTTCTTTTTGGATGGCGCTCTGGAAACCAAGAAAAAGCCACGCATTTGGAGGCTCCCATTATTTACGACACATGTTCTATCATCATCTCTGGCAAGGCAAATGCGACTTGTAGAAGGAGATTGAAGTGAAGCCAAAAGACCCCGAGAATTCACTCCTCGGGGTGTCTGAAAGAGGAACATGGGCCAAATCCGGAAACTTGCGGGAATGACAATCTACCAGCCACTCTTAGGCCTTAAGTGGTTCGGCTCACACCAGTATTCAAGGGCAAGATTCGGGGTAGGGTTTTGCCTTGCGATTTGGGCTGGAAGCCTTCAAACCTGACTCCGGCTTAGTAGTCCCAAATCCATGAAGCATCCGGTTGGACAAAGGCGTCCATTTGTAGCCATAAAATAGTTGGGGGGGTCGCAAAGGTGCCATGGAACACTTTGAGCTGTTTCTTGGGGCCCAAACCCCTGCTACACGAGTGTTTTGCCCCGGGCAGGAGATCTGGCGTCGAGTCCATAGTCCAGCTGCTCGACAATTGCGATGCCAGGCCTGTGGGAAATGGTGAGGTTGACTTTCTCATTCGGAATGACTTTCAACTTTCTGCTTTTGTCATTCCAGGCTTTCTGCAGCCATTTCATCGAGGGACTGGCATGGCTTCGGCTTTGTCTACCATCGGCCTTGACGATGAGCTGGCAGCGATGCCTGCACCAGCGTGACCGAGTGCAGCACCATGCTCGGCGCTTTCAGGAGAAGGATGCCACAACGGTCCTGAATCGCTACGAGCAGCAGAGGAGAATCATGAGTCGGCCGCAGCTTGAAAAGCATGCCTTTCACGTGGCATGCTGGCTGGTGCTTCCAGAGGTGAGAAGAAGCCATGGCGATTCCGGAGTCGTTGGATGGGCAGCCAGTTTGCAAGCGCCTGAAAGCGGTTCTGTCACTTGTCTCGGCAAGTTCGGGAGTTGCAGGGCTCTCGGGGTTGCTGGGCAAAGGGCAGAAGAGAAAGGCGGAGATGATTCAAGCAGACGAGCTGGAAAAGCCGGATTCCAGCAAGCCAGTTGATGCCTGCGTTGACAAGGCTGTGCGGCTGATGCAGAAGGCCAGCCAAACGTGGCAGAACCACCCGTCCGAGTGCCGGGAAGCATACGTGGATTCTCTAGAGCAAGAGGTGCAAGAGGCCAACGGAGCTGAGAACTCGGCCAAGCTGCGCATGGTCCTGCGCCGAGCCGTTGCTGCGCTTTCCCCGCCACGGCGTTTGGGTGATGGATGCGAGGGCAAGATGCCGGCATCTGTTTCATCCAACGACCAGGCGACGCTGGCCACCAACCTGCAATCCCGACTTCGCAAAAGCGTGCTCCGCTGCCTGGATCGAGTGGACCTGGCAGATGTGCGCCTTGCGCCGGTGCTGCAATGCTTGCAGTCACTGCTCCAAACGTTTCAGGAGCTGGTCACCAGGGAAAGCATGATCTCTTGCAAGAAGCAATGGGCTCGGCTACAAGCCAAGTGTGCGAGCACCATGCAACCCCAAGCAGCGGCAAGTGCAAAGGGAGCCGAAGATGGTGCTGGCATTTTCAGGCCGGAGTCTTTAGCATCATGCCCCCATGGCAAGCTGAGACGAAGCTGCGCGCAATGCAAGGGCTGTCCACATGGCAAGCGGCCTCAACAATGCCCACAATGCAGCGCATGCCCGCACGGAAAAGTCAAGCACAACTGCTCGGAATGCAAACCGTGCCCGCACGGAAAAGTCAAGCGCAATTGCGCGCAGTGCTGCACATGCCCGCACGGAAAAGTCAAGCGCAACTGCTTGCAGTGCAGCGCATGCCCACACGGCAAGGCAAAACGCAACTGCAGCCAGTGCACAGGATGCCCACACGGGAAGGCAAAACGTCGCATGTGTGCCGAAGCAAGGCGAAAAGAGAACTGCACGCCACCAAGCTAGATGCTCAACTGTTTGGTATGTTTGGTTATTGCAAAGTAGGCTGGGTCGAGGTGATCCAGTTTTGGGCGACTGAAGAGATTTGGTGGCTAGTCATTTCCTTTTGGGCGCAAAGACGATGTGCGTCAGTCCGGGTCTCCATGTACATGTTTCACGGGAAATCAAATCGTGAGTTTTGCATTCGTCTGTTGGATATCGCTCGAGTTTGGCCCGGTCTCTTGGAAGGTAAATGGTGCGTCGCTGACACCTGAAGGGCCTGGGGACTCGCCTTGTTCGACTCAAATATTGTCCGGGAGCCCTTTGAGGGCAGGGTGGTTGGCACGGCATTGTTGTTCAGGAAAATGAAGGAACATCCCAAAGCGTGTTTCGGCAGTTTGGTGGTTTAACCATGTTTGAACACGTTCAAGTCGGCCGAAAAGCATTTTTTGAGCATGTTCAAACAATGCTTGGCCGCTTTCTGCCTGTTGCTTTTCGCACACTGGGCCTCTGTCTGATAGACCGCCTTTCTTTTTGGCAGGATCAGCTTGAAGATTCTGTGGCCGGCTACGTGTCCGAGATCAGGCCGGCTGACACCTGTAGCTTTATGCGTTCTGTTGTGAAAGGAGCAAATCTTTCAGGCTGTCGAACAAGCACAACGCTCTGCAAAAGAGGGTAAAACAGATAGCGGTTAGTCCACAAGGCTCGATGTTCGCGGAATGAGGGTTGCTTTCGCGGTGACAGCTGTAGAAGGCTCCAAGAACGAAACCTATGCACCTGAGAGCATCGTGCTCTGCTCTGGGGACCGTGCCAACGGCAATGAACAACATCCCCTGTTCCAACACTTGGAAGTGGACAAGGGCCCTTTTCAAGATGGTTGTCCACTTCGAAGATTGTTGGAAACGGAGTATCGCACCCATGTGAACCATGCTTTCCGAGTGACCCTATTGAGACGTCCTTGACGGTCTGAGCGCTGAGCCTCGGAGGCATCATTCTCTCTGCTCCCTCACACTTCGCCTCGTGCACGATGCCCTCCCAGCCATGGCGAGCTCGACCCGAAGCCACGCCCGTTTGGTCTCTGCATATCGGTGCCGTCCACAATGGCCCAAGAGGGCGGACGACCCGCCGGAGAGCTCTTGACTCGACATCCGAAACCAAGGCCGACTTTTTCGAAGGGGTGGAGATGCTTGCCATGAGTTCTGTGACAAAGATGAAGTTACTGGCCAGAAAGGCTTTTTCCAAACTTTGTCCAAACAATTGGGAGCCCACCGAGTGATCCTCTTTTGGATGGCGCTCAGCTGGAAACCAAGAACAAGCCACGCATTTCGAGGCTCCGCTTAGAACACCTTGTTTTATCATCATCTTTGGAACCGAGGCAAATGCGACTTGTAGAGGGGAAGTGAAGCCAGCAAAACTACAGGAATTCACTTCGTGCGCTGAAAGAGGAACGAGGGCCCAGCCCGGGACCCTTTCACGTTTTACTTGTAATGACATCTTACCAGCCATAGGCTTCAAGTGGCTCGCCTACGAACATCATGCGCACGATGTGGGGCAGGGTTTTGCCCTGCGATGTGGACTGGAAGCCTTCCCAATGGCTCCGGAAAACCATCAAGCTTCCGGTTGGAGCAAGGCGTCGATTTTAGTCATAAACCAGTGGACACCTGGGCTCTCCCGTTTCCCTTCACCGGGATGCGTTTTTCTTGAGCCCGTGTACCCCTTTTAATAGGGCACGAAAAGGCGCTGCCCTGTGCCATACACACTTAGTTTTTTTGTTGCAGCCCAAACCCCTCAAGGAGCTCCATTTGCCCTACACGAGTGTTTTGCTGCTCGACAATTGCGATGTCAGGCGTGTGGGAAATGGGGTTTGAGGTTGACTTTCTCATTTCGGAATTGAAACAAAAACACATCAATTGCATATGCCATGTGGCACTATTGGCATTCAGTAGATTTCGTCAAGTGAAAGGCTCGTTGCGAGCTTTGGGTTTCCACAACATCAAGTCCCTTGCAAGGCAGACCACCTGCCGGTCAGGCCTGACGCTCCAGCAAAGCAGCACGTGCTGATCAGTCTTGTTTTCATTCAGTCAAGAACGGAGCATTGCCAGTATTCTTTTGTCGCAGGAAGCCCAGCTCCGACCCTGCTTTTGTCATTTCTAGGCTTTGACTGCAGCCATTTCAGCGAGGGACTGGGCTCCCCTTCCTTCTAGCGTGGCAGCTGTGTCACATCTGCTCCGTGGCATGGCTTCGGCTTTGACTACCATTGGCCTTGACGATGAGCTGGCAGCGATGCCTGCACCATGGCGTGACCGAGTACAGCACCATGCTCGGCGCTTTCAGGAGAAGGATGCCACAACGGTCCTGAATCGCTACGAGCAGCAGAGGAGAATCATGAGTCGGCCGCAGCTTGAAAAGCATGCCTTTCATGTGGCATGCTGGCTGGTGCTTCCAGAGGTGAGAAGAAGCCATGGCGATTCCGTGGAGGCACTGCTGTCCAGGTACTTGGAGTCGTTGAATGGGCAGCCAGTTTGCGAGCGCCTGAAAGCGGTTCTGTCACTTGTCTCGGCAAATTCGGGAGTTGCAGGGCTCTCGCGGTTGCTGGGCAAAGGGCAGAAGAGAAGGGCGGAGATGATGCAGGCAGATGAGCTGGAAAAGCCGGATTCCAGCAAGCCAGTTGATGCCGGCGGTGAAAAGGCTGTGCGGCTGATGCAGAAGGCCAGCCAAATGTGGCAAAACCACCCGTCCGAGTGCCGGGAAGCGTACGTGGATTCTCTGGAGCAAGAGATGCAAGAGGCCGACGGAGCTGAGAACTCGGCCAAGCTGCGCATGGTTCTGCGCCGAGCCGTAGGTGCGCTTTCCCCTCCACGGCGTTTGGGTGATGGATGCGACGGCAAGATGACGGCATCTATCCCATCCAACGATGAGTGGATGCCGGCCACCAACCTGCAATCCCGGCTTCGCAAAATCGTGCTCCGCTGCCTGGATCGAGTGGACCTGGCAGATTTGCGCCTTGCGCCGGTGCTGCAATGCTTGCAGTCACTGCTCCAAAGGTTTCAGGAGCTGGTCACCAGAGAAAGCGTGATAGAATGCAGGGAGCAATGGGCTCGGCTACAAGCCAAGTGTGCGAGCACCATGCCACCTGAAGCTCGAAGTTCGGGAGTTGCAGGGCTTTCGGGGTTGCTGGGCAAAGGGCAGAAGAGAAAGGTGGAGATGATGCAGGCAGACGAACTGGGAAAGCCGGATTCCAGCAAGCCAGTTGATGCCTGCGGTGAAAAGGCTGTGCGGCTGATGCAGAAGGCCAGCCAAACGTGGCAGAACCACCCGTCTGAGTGCAGGGAAGCGTACGTGGAGTCTCTGGAGCAAGAGGTGCAAGAGGCCGACGGAGCTGAGAACTCGGCCAAGCTGCGCATGGTCCTGCGCCGAGCCGCAGCTGCGCTTTCCCCGCCACGGCGTTTGGGTGATGGATGCAAGGGCAAGATGCCGGCATCTATTTCATCCAACGACCAGGCGACGCTGGCCACCAACCTGCAATCCCGACTCCGCAACATCGTGCTCCGCTGCCTGGATCGAGTGGACCTGGCAGATGTGCGCCTTGCGCCGGTGCTGCAATGCTTGCAATCACTGCTCCAAACGTTTCAGGAGCTAGTCACTGTTGAAAGCATGATCGGATGCAGGAAGCAATGGGCTCGGCTACAAGCCAGGTGTGCGAGCACTGTGCCACCCGAAACAGCAGTAAGCTTGTCAGCATGTGCAAAGGGAGCCGAAGATGGTGCTGACATTTTCAAGCCGGAGTCTTCAGCATCATGCCCCCATGGCAAGCTGAGACGAAGCTGCGCGCAATGTCGAGGCTGTCCACATGGCAAGCGGGCTCACAATTGCCCGCAATGCAGTGCCTGCCCGCACGGTAAGCTCAAACATTTCTGCCTGCAGTGCAGCGCATGCCCGCACGGAAAAGTCAAGCACAACTGCTCGGAATGCAAACCGTGCCCGCACGGAAAAGTCAAGCGCAATTGCGTGCAGTGCGCGGGATGCCCACATGGCAAGATCAAGAACAACTGCGTGCAGTGCAGCGCATGCCCGCACGGTAAGCTGAAGAGGAATTGTCGTATGTGTGATGAAGCGAGGGGAAAAGTGAACTGCACGCTTTCAGGCAAGATGTTGCATTGTGTCGCTGTTGCAGAATACTTGGTTCGGCTGGGTCTAGGCGATCCAGTTGCTGGTGGCTGAAGAGATTTTGGGGCTTGTTGTCATTTCCTGGAGGCAAAGACGGTGCTGCCCCTGCAAGATTCTTGTTGGCTTCGGGGGACTCGTGTGGAATCCCAACGAATTCTTGGACCTCCGAAGGAGCGCGGTCCAGGGCTTGAGCTGGCGTGAGCCCCAGGGAACAACGTTTGGGTTAACAGCTATCATTGGTTGGAACCTGCGATCTTTTCGATTCCCAAAGGGAGGGCCGGCGCACTGAAAGCGTGTCTTACCATTCGGCCAGTGCTTCTGCCACAAAGGCGTCCCCAGTCCAGGTCTCCATCTACACGTTTAACGGGAAATCAATCCTTCAGTTTTGCATCCGTCTCTTGATCCCTCGAGCTGGCCAAACTTGGTTCCCGGTCTCTTTGAAAGGGTGTACCGGAAGGCAGTGGAAGTTTGGTAGCTAGTCTTTGGGGTGTGGAAATTACAAAATGCAAATCGAGTTCGGTAGTTGGCTTTTCCATTGTCAACTTGAGCCGGCAGGTTTGCACATGCTTAGAGGCACCAGACACAGAAACGCCGAATCCGCGGCTCATGGATGTTGGGGGCTTGGCTGGGCGCTCGTAATCCTTGAATACCGGAATGGCATGACTTTAGCCGGGCACCCCTTCAGATGAGCGTGCCATGTCAGAAGAAGTGTTTTTTTTGAATGAGACTTTGCTGACCATTCCTTAGGCGTTTCGTGGTTCGGCTCATACCAATATCCCCACGAGATTCAGATCCGGATTGCCCCTCTGACGTCAAGTCCAGCGCCAGGCCTGAGCGGTGCGGAGGCGGAGCCTCTCGTGAGGCGGGGCCATGGCGTCTCAGGTAGCGGAAGGCAGTCTGTGGGGTATGCTTATGAAAACGCAAAACAAGAAGTCACAAGTCACAAGTCATAAGAAGTCATAAGAAGTCGAGAAGCCAAAGGGCAAGTCGCTAGGGCCTGGGATCTTCAGAAGGCTCGCCTGGTTCGACTCCTCAAGTATTGTGCCGGGAGGTTCGCGGAGAAAGGAACATGAAGGGACATCCCAAAGCTTGTGGTTTAAACATGTTTGAACATGTTCAGGCAGTTGGCCGACCCTGGTCGCGGCCATGCCCTAAAGCATGCTCATAGACCGCCTTTCTTTTCGCCCAGGATCAACCTGAAAGGTCTGGTTCTGTAGCTGGCTACGGTAAAAAACCTGAAGCCAGCTTGCGTTCTGCTGGTGAAAGGAGCAAATCTTGGGCCTCCAACAAGCACAACGCTCTGTAACAGAGGGCAAAACAGAGAGCAGTTGGTGTGCAGTGCAGCGCATGCCCGCACGGAAATGTCAAGCGCAACTGCGTGCAGTGCAGCGCATGCCCACATGGAAAGATCAAGCAGAAATGCTTGCAGTGCAGCGCATGCCCACATGGCAAAATTAAGAAGAACTGTGTGCAGTGCAGCGCATGCCCGCACGGCAAGCTGAAGAGGAACTGTCGTATGTGTGCCGAAGCAAGGGGAAAAGAGAACTGCGCGCCGCCAAGCTAGATTTTCAATTGTTTGGCTATTGCAAAGTAGGCTGGGTCGAGGTGATCCAGCTTTTGGTGACTGAAGAGATTGGGCGGCTAGTCATTTCCTGATGGGCGCAAAGATAGGCATGATTCCGGCTTTGGGTGGTGCCAAAACCATCAAGCTTCCGGTTGGACCAAGGCGTCCATTTGTAGGCATAAAATAGTGGAAGCCTGGGCTCTCCTGTTTCCCTTCTTGAGCCTTTGTGCCCTTGACCCCTTTTACGAGGGGACGCAATGGCACCGTCCGGTGCCATGGACACTAAGAGCTTTTTTTGCAGCCCAAAGCCCTGAAGGAGCTGCATTTGCCAGGAGATTAGACGCGCCAGGCCTGTGGGAAATGCGGATTGAGGCCAGCCCACTTCTTATTTCGGAATCACTCTCGGTATTTGCAGGCCTATGACAGCACACACATTCATTGCATGTACCATTTGGCATTTTAGAATTATTGGTATTCAGCAGATTCGTCAAGTAAAAAGTTCTCAATCATGCTTTACCAGCTTTGGGGGTTCCAACTGACGCTCTAGCAAAGCAGCAGTCACGTGCTGATCATTCTTGTTTTCATTCAGTCAAGAACGGAGCATTGCCAGTATCCTTTTGACCCAGGAAGCCCAGCTCCGACCCCCAGCACTTACCGCTTTGGTGATTTCCAGGCTTTCTGCAGCCATTTCATCGAGGGACTGGGCTCCCCTTCCTTCTTGCGTGGCAGCTGTGTCACATGTGCTCTGTGCCATGGCCTCGGCTTTGTCTACCATCGGCCTTGACGATGAGCTGGCAGCGATGCCTGCACCATGGCGTGACCGAGTGCAGCACCATGCTCGTCGCTTTCACGAGAAGGATGCCACAACTGTCCTTAATCGCTACGAGCAGCAGAGGAGAATCATGAGCCGGCCAAAGCTCGAAAAGCATGCCTTTCATGTGGCATCCTGGCTGGTGCATCCAGAGGTGAGAAGAAGCCATGGCGATTCCATGGAGGCACTACTGTCCAGGTACTTGGAGTCGTTGGATGGGCAGCCACTTTGCGAGCGCCTGAAAGTGGTTCTGTCACTTGTCTCGGCAAGTTCGGGAGTTGCAGGGCTCTCGGGGTCGCTGGGCGAAGGGCAGAAGAGAAAGGCGGAGATGATGCAAGCAGAGAAGCTGGAAAAGCCGGATTCCAGCAAGCCAGTTGATGCCTGCGGGGACAAGGCTGTGCGCCTGATGCAGAAGGCCAGCCAAATGTGGCAGAACCAGCCGTCCGAGTGCCGGGAAGCGTACGTGGAGTCTCTGGAGCAGGAGATGCAAGAGGCCGACGGAGCTGAGAACTCGGCCAAGCTGCGCATGGTCCTGCGCCGAGCCGCAGCTGCGCTTTCCCCGCCACGGCGTTTGGGCGACGGATGCGAGGGCAAGACGCCGTCTATCGCATGCAACGACCAGTCGCTGGCACCCAACTTGCAAACCCGGCTTCGCAAAATCGTGCTCCGCTGCCTGGATCGAGTGGACCTGGCAGATGTGCGTCTTGCACCGGTGCTGCAATGCTTGCAGTCGCTGCTCCGAACATTTCAGGAGCTGGTCACCGGTGAAAGCAGGATCGCTTGCAAGAAGCAATGGGCTCGGCTACAAGACAGGTGTGCGAGCACTGTGCCACCCGAAGCAGCAGCAAGCTTGTCCGCGTGTGCAAAGGGAGCCGAAGATTGTGCTGGCATTGCCAAGCCCGAGTCTTCAGCATCATGCCCCCATGGCAAGCTGAGACGAAGCTGCGCTCAATGCACAGGCTGTCCACACGGCAAGCGGGCTAACGATTGCCCGCAATGCAGTGTTTGCCCGCACGGAATTGTCAAGCGCAACTGCTCGGAATGCACACCCTGTCCACATGGCAAGGTCAAGTATGATTGTACGCAATGCACTGGATGTGCGCACGGTAAGCAGAAAAGGTTCTGCCTGCAGTGTGGCGCATGCGCGCACGGCAGGATCAAGCAAAACTGCATAGAATGCAGCGCATGCCCGCACGGAAAAATCACACGCAACTGCTTGCAGTGCAGCGGATGCCCACATGGCAAGCTCAAGCAGAATTGCTTGCAGTGCAGCGCATGCCCACATGGCAAGATCAAGACCAGCTGCGTGCAGTGCAGCGCATGCCCGCACGGAAATGTCAAGCGCAACTGCGTGCAGTGCAGCGCATGCCCACATGGAAAGATCAAGCAGAATTGCTTGCAGTGCAGCGCATGCCCACATGGCAAGATTAAGAAGAACTGCGTGCAGTGCAGCGCATGCCCGCACGGCAAGCTGAAGAGGAACTGTCGTATGTGTGCCGAAGCAAGGGGAAAAGAGAACTGCGCGCCGCCAAGCTGGATTTTCAATTGTTTGGCTATTGCAAAGTAGGCTGGGTCGAGGTGATCCAGCTTTTGGTGACTGAAGAGATTGGGCGGCTAGTCATTTCCTGATGGGCGCAAAGATAGGCATGATTCCGGCTTTGGGTGGTGCCAAAACCATGAAGCTTCCGGTTGGACCAAGGCGTCCATTTGTAGGCATAAAATAGTGGAAGCCTGGGCTCTCCTGTTTCCCTTCTTGAGCCTTTGTGCCCTTGACCCCTTTTACGAGGGGACGCAATGGCACCGTCCGGTGCCATGGACACTAAGAGCCTTTTTTGCAGCCCAAAGCCCTGAAGGAGCTGCATTTGCCAGGAGATTAGACGCGCCAGGCCTGTGGGAAATGCACTTCTTATTTCGGAATCACTCTCGGTATTTGCAGGCCTATGACAGCGGTATCATCCGAGGAAGTGAAACACAACCCAAAACACACATTCATTGCATGTACCATTTGGCATTTTAGAATTATTGGCATTCAGCAGATTCGTCAAGTAAAAAGTTCTCAATCATGCTTTACCAGCTTTGGGGGTTCCAACTGACGCTCTAGCAAAGCAGCAGTCACGTGCTGATCATTGTTGTTTTCATTCAGTCAAGAACGGAGCATTGCCAGTATCCTTTTGACCCAGGAAGCCCAGCTCCGACCCCCAGCACATACCGCTTTGGTGATTTCCAGGCTTTCTGCAGCCATTTCATCGAGGGACTGGGCTCCCCTTCCTTCTTGCGTGGCAGCTGTGTCACATGTGCTCTGTGCCATGGCCTCGGCTTTGTCTACCATCGGCCTTGACGATGAGCTGGCAGCGATGCCTGCACCATGGCGTGACCGAGTGCAGCACCATGCTCGTCGCTTTCACGAGAAGGATGCCACAACTGTCCTTAATCGCTACGAGCAGCAGAGGAGAATCATGAGCCGGCCGCAGCTTGAAAAGCATGCCTTTCATGTGGCATCCTGGCTGGTGCATCCAGAGGTGAGAAGAAGCCATGGCGATTCCGTGGAGGCACTACTGTCCAGGTACTTGGAGTCGTTGGATGGGCAGCCACTTTGCGAGCGCCTGAAAGTGGTTCTGTCACTTGTCTCGGCAAGTTCGGGAGTTGCAGGGCTCTCGGGGTTGCTGGGCGAAGGGCAGAAGAGAAAGGCGGAGATGATGCAGGCAGACGAGCTGGAAAAGCCGGATTCCAGCAAGCCAATTGATGCCTGCGGTGACAAGGCTGTGCAGCTGATGCAGAAGGCCAGCCAAACGTGGCAGAACCAGCCGTCCAAGTGCCGGGAAGCGTACGTGGAGTCTCCGGAGCAGGAGATGCAAGAGGCCGACGGAGCTGAGAACTCGGCCAAGCTGCGCATGGTCCTGCGCCGAGCCGTAGCTGCGCTTTCCCCGCCACGGCATTTAGGTGATGAATGCGAGGGCGAGAACTTGCAATCCCGGCTTCGCAAAATCGTGCTCCGCTGCCTGGATCGAGTGGACCTGGCAGATGTGCGTCTTGCACCGGTGCTGCAATGCTTGCAGTCGCTGCTCCGAACATTTCAGGAGCTGGTCACCAGTGAAAGCATGATCGCTTGCAAGAAGCAATGGGCTCGGCTACAAGCCAAGTGTGCGAGCACCATGCCACCTGAAGCTCGAAGTTCGGGAGTTGCAGGGCTCTCGGGGTTGCTGGGCAAAGGGCAGAAGAGAAGGGCGGAGTTGATGCAGGCAGAAGAGCTGGAAAAGCCGGATTCCAGCAAGCCAGTTGATGCCTGCGGTGAAAAGGCTGTGCGCCTGATGCAGAAGGCCAGCCAAACGTGGCAGAACCACCCGTCCGAGTGCCGGGAAGCGTACGTGGCGTCTCTGGAGCAAGAGATGCAAGAGGCCGACGGAGCTGAGAACTCGGCCAAGCTGCGCAAGGTTCTGCGCCGAGCCGTAGCTGCGCTTTCCCCGCCACGGCGTCTGGGTGATGGATGCGAGGGCAAGATGACGGCATCTCCCGAATCCGACGATCAGTGGACGCTGGCCACCAACCTGCAATCCCGGCTTCGCAAAATCGTGCTCCGCTGCCTGGATCGAGTGGACCTGGCAGATTTGCGTCTTGCGCCGGTGCTGCAATGCTTGCAGTCACTGCTCCAAAGGTTTCAGGAGCTTGTCACCGGTCAAAGCAGGATCGCTTGCAAGAAGCAATGGGCTCGGCTACAAGCCAGGTGTGCGAGCACCATGCCACCCGAAGCAGCAGCAAGCTTGTCAGCATGTGCAAAGGGAGCCGAAGATAGTGCTGGCATTGTCAAGCCGGAGTTTTCAGGATCATGCCCCCATGGCAAGCTGAGACGAAGCTGCGCTCAATGCAGAGGCTGTCCACATGGCAAGTGGCGTCAAAATTGTCCGCAATGCAGCGGCTGCCCGCACGGAAAAGTCAAAAGCAAATGCTCGGAATGCCAACCCTGTCCGCATGGCAAGGTCAAGTATGATTGTACGCAATGCACTGGATGTCCGCACGGTAAGCGCAAAAAGTACTGCCTGCAGTGCGGCGCATGCCCCCACGGAAAGGTCAAGTGCAACTGCTTGCAGTGCAGTGCATGCCCACATGGCAATATCAAGTATAATTGCATGCAATGCGTTGGATGTCCGCACGGCAAGCACAAACCGCACTGCCTGCAGTGCGGCGCATGCCCACACGGAAAGGTCAAGCGCAACTGCTTGCAGTGCAGTGCATGCCCACATGGCAATATCAAGCGCAACTGCCGGCAGTGCACGGCATGCCCACACGGCACGGCAAAACGCAGCTGCTTGCAGTGCAGCGCATGCCCACATGGCAAGCTGAAGTCGAGCTGTCGCATGTGTGCTGAGGCGAGGGGAAAAGTGAACTGCGCGCCTCCAGGTAGACTGAGGTAGTTGCTCAGGTGGTGACCGAACAGATCTTGGGGCTTGTCATTTCCTTAATTCTGGACTCAAGGACTGTCTGAAGGATTCTGCTTGGCTTCGGGGGCGCCGAAGGTGCGGCTGGGCGTGTCCAGGGCCTTGCTGGCGTGAGGTTCAGGGGGGAGGCGTGTGGGTTGACGCAGGCTCGAGCCCGAGATCTTGTGGGAAGGGTGCAGCAGAAGTTTGGTAGCCAGTCTTGGGGTATGTAAATATACATGTATAATATAAATATATATATATATATATATATATGTATATATATATATATATAACTTACAACATGCGAAACAAGGCGTCACAACCAGAAGTCGAGACACCAAGAAAGGGCGAGTCGAATGCCCCGCGGCTCCTGGATTCTCCTGCCGCCTGAGGGCCCGGGGTTTTGAGATGGCCCAAGGAAGACTTTTTGTTTGACTCAAAATTCGCGCAAGAGGTGCTTCACTGAGAAAGGGAACAGGAGGGTGGCGTACTGGCATCACCATTTTCCAATACGGTACCAGTTGGACACCTAGTCGGACGCCTGAGGGCAGGGTTGGCAGACAAAGCAGATCGGTTTTGGACCTTTTTTTAAGGAAAATGAAGGGACAACCCAAAGCTTGTTTCTTCAGTTTGCTGGTTTCGATTTTTTTCAACATGTTCAAGCCCTTGCCTAAACGATTTGAACATGTTCAAACAATGCTTGGCCGTTGATTTTCGCGTAATGGGCCTTTGATTGACCGCCTTTTCTTTTCCGCCCAGGATGAACCTGAAGGGCCTGGTTCTGTTGCTGGCTACGTGTCCGAGATCAGGCCGGCTGACGCCTGGAAGGTCGGGAAGTTTGCAAGCATTTGGGAGCCTCTCCGGTCAAGACCTGAAGCCAGCTTGCGTTCTGTTTGTGAAAGGAGCAAATCTTTCAGGTCCTCGAACAAGCAGAATGCTTTTTGGCGATGACAGGCGTCATGCAAGGTTCCAAAAAGTAACCTCCACACCTGAGCACATCCTGCTCTGTTCTGGGGGGCTGTGCCAACAGCGATGAACAGCGAGGGGCCCTTCCACTTCAAAGATTGAGGGAAACAGGGTATTGTACCCAGGTGAATCATGCTCTCCAAGTGACTCTATTGAGATGTCCTTGACCGCCTGAGCGGCTGAGTTTCAGCCTCTTTGAGAAGCCTGGGTTGATCAAAAGGTCCTCTACATGGGACGAGCATTGGGGGAAACCACTAAAACGATGATATGTTCCACTAGATGTTGATCAACCCCCAAATGTTCAGAACACAGCACAATGTCCTCAGCCATGGCAAGCTCGACCCGAAACCCAGCCCGTTCGTTCTCTGCGTATCGGTGGGATATGTGGCGGACTTCCCAGATAAGGAAGGCCTCAGAAATGGCCCAGCATGACCCAAGAGGGCGGTAGAGGAAATCACACAGAGACTTTTGAGTTCTTGACTTGACATTCCCCGAAATCAAAAGCGGACCTTTTCAAAGGGGTGGTTGAGCATCAGACACTTCTTGAAGGATGAAGCTCGACCAGAGACTTGCTCTGATTCTGGGCAGAATATAGTGACTCCGCAAAGGGGTATGCGACTTCACTGTACCCAGTCTGTGTCTGACATTGAGCCAAAAGGAAGGCACCCAGTCGGCCATTTTCAAGACAAAGGGGTCATTTTGCCAGCTTCCATGCTGGCGCGGGCGGTGTGTGTGTGTGTGTGTGTGCAGGAGGGGGTGGGATCCAATCACCCTTCTTGCTCAGGAGACATTCCGGGGGACTTGTGTCTGCTTCAGTGTAGCTCGGCGAGGGCCCCGATTGGACAGGGTTGCATCAGGGTGGGCCTGCCCATTTGGGTGGAAGCTTGTTAGAGGGATTAAACAACTTCGGCGGAGCATCTCTACATCTTCTCGAATCCGCATGAGCAGTCATTGCTCGGTGGCAGTGGTGACTACTTATCAATCTGGTGATGCCAGAACCATTTGGAAACTTGGCTAGCGTCAAAAGGGAGGATTTGTTGATTGGATTCGCTGGGTCGGAGTCTTGCGCTGCTGTTGGACGGATACGTGATCAGTGACTCTTATTGAAGCATGGCTGATACATGGATACGCGATCTGCTAGCCGGGCTCATATCTTGAGCAATTTGGTCCTTTCCGGGTCGCACGCCACGCGGCTTGCGATCATGTCTCGGCTGGGCAGGCGCGCTGGCTTTCTTGGAGTGGCAGCGGCTTTTGTGTCCTCGCTAGTGGCAGCGCAGGCCTGGGTTGGTTACCCAGGACCAAGGCCAGCTAGAGCAAGGGTGGCTCGCTGTGCACAACTCACATGGAAGTGGAAGGACAAGCTGGGAGAGGGAACCTTCAAGGAGGCATATATGGCGGAGGTGACGGGGAAGGGCGACTATCTTGGCTTTTCTCCTGGCCAAAAGTTGGTGTTAAAGTTCACAAAGAGGGAAAGATACTGCAAGGGAGTTCGCATCACAGAGACCGATGTGGCAGCGCATCAGCTGGCGCAGTCGTATGCCACGACCTTTCTGCAAAAGCATCGACCGAACAGAGGCGGCAAACCTCTAACAATTTTTTTCCGAGTAGGAAAGATAGTTGAAAGCAGCCAAGAGCAGTTTCAAGGCAAAACCACGAAGGTTGTCAAAGGCGAGAGCATGCTGATCGAACTGCCGATCTACGGCAAGTATGAGAAGTTCAACTCCAACACTGGGTGGTCATCGGGAGTTGGCTTGCTTCCTGATGCTTTCAGCCACTGGACCTGGGTTGAAAGTGGTGGCCAGCATTTGGTTTGTGATCTCCAGGGACACCGGGGATTCCCAGACGGAGTCAAACTGGGGGCCGAGAAGCGGCACTACTACGCATTTAGTGACCCAGCTGTGCTCAGCACTTCTGGCGATTATGGGTGTGCTGATCTTGGCAAGAAAGGCCAGGAAACTTGGTTTCACAACCATGTTTGCAATGACTTTTGCAAGTCATTGGGGTTAGTTGGGAAGGTACCACATCGTGAGAGCCACCACGCACGTCACAGTCATACAGTATACCGGCCCATCAGGTAGCTGATTTTGTTGCAATCCTCCAACAGCTTGCAGATTGGTGGCTTGCCTGGCAAAAGAGAGCGATGCCGGCAGCCACGTCTCAACCCTTCCCTTTTTCCCTTTTGGTGGAAATAGCACCAAGACCTCAGTCCAGCATCACATTGTTCAGTTGCTTTCCACCCTGCAGCTGCCAAGTCGAAGCCACATGCAGGAACCACATTGGTACCTGTCGCGACTGGGGTCACCCCTCTAGATGGTTGGCTTCGTGTGGGGGTTGATCAAAAGGGCCTTTACATTGGCCACGGAAAACAATGACTTTCACCGCTAAATGGGAAAAGTTCCCCATGGTCATTTTGGGGCCAGGAATATTGATCAACCCCCGACAGCTGGAATGTTGGTTCGCTTCTCAAACATGGCAACCGGAGACAACAAAGCAAAGCACCCCATGACCGAGGCTTGGCGCGTTCGCGGATTTCCTTTGCCCAGCCTGTCGCCGCGTGTATCGAGGACCATTGCAATGCACAATACCTTGGATGTCTTGGAGATCTTGAAGCATTTTCTCTGGAAGGTTTTTAAGTTTCCAATTGCAGGATGTCAACAAGGGTTTCCAATTGGAGTGTTGAACAAGCAAGCAAGCGTTTCTTTGTTTCTTTGTTTATCTTTATTATAGTTAATTTTTGTGTGTGGCTTTTGAATTGATTTATATATTTAGTGTGTCGCAGCTTTGAGCCTTCAGCCATTGGTTCCCGGCAGAAGAATGCTGGTTCACGCATCCATCGACTTCCCAGCAGTGATTGGAGCATCGTTGCCAGGTTCTCCTGATACTTTTTTTTTGGATGGTGATGTTTGTAGGCTTTATAGGGCGCCTATGAGGAACCTTGTCACAAGCCAAACTGCTTGAAGAATTCGGCAGATCCAAGGCAAGCTGCTTTCCGGCATCTAATGAGGTGTCTCGAGGCTTGTGAGGTGCTTCTTGCAGAGTCCACACCTGGTCGGTGCTTGAGGCGAGGCTCATTCAAGTTTTTGATGTCAAAGACATGCCGTGGTGATTCAACATGCATTTCTCTGGTAGCACCAAAATGCGGAAATCGACGTTGGCTATGGTTCGCCTTTGTGGTAGTTCCTTCGACCGCAGGAGACGGTGGCCTTCGACTTCTGAGAGTGCACCCGGAGGCGCCTCTTCAAAGGTCTAGTCGCGGCACCGCAGACAGAAAATGAAGCTCTCGTTTCGCGGGGGGATGCGTGAGGCGTTGCAGAGGCCAAGAGACCATGGATCCCGTTCCCTTTCTCGCAGGAAGGGGGAAATTGGGTTCGGTCTCCCCTTCTCCATAGCAAAAGCACCATGCTGCTGCCAAAATGCAAGGAAGGCAGCAGGCGGCGCGAATTGCCCAATCCTGATAGTCTGCATGAGCTGCAAGTATTGAAAGATGCCCTTCTTTGTTACACCACACAGTTTCTGACGTGAAGAAGACAAGGCATCATTTCTTGGCATGCGACTGGCGACTGGTTTGCTTTCCAAGTAAGGATTGACATTGCGTCTGCCCTCAGCATTTTCGATACAACTGAGCCATCGCATGGCTGCTCAGAAGTGTTGGCTCTTCGGCAAGCCATCTCCGCGAGTCTTGCACGGTATGAGACAGGGGAGATGGAGAGCTTCTTCACGTGGAAGTGGTTTCGAGCGTCGAGCAATAGCTAGCACGAACCAGGCCATGCATTCCCCATGCTGAGGGCTCAATCACCGAAGCGTGGCCGAGTGTACCCGCGCCGACTGCTGGGGATCAGGTTCCAAGGTTGAACTATGAATGAAAGACGGGGCTGCGCAGAATCACACAGCCTCACATACAAACATAGAAACCAGTATGACAGCATGAGATGCTGAGTCCTTGCCCCCCCCCAGTGCTCCAGCAAGGGCAAGGGCAAAGAGCGACTTCGAGATTCAAGGCATCCTTTCCAGCTTTTGATCAAAGTTCTCACCGGAAGACATTTCATGGAGGCTTCGCTGGCGCGGTTGCCGGTTGAAGTGGACCGGGGCTCGGGGAGTTCTCGAGGCTACCACCTGGCCATATCCGCAGTTGGTCTTTTCAACAATTCCCCAGATGCTTCCAACAACCTTGCCTCCAGAGCTGACTGTGGAGTGGGCTGCAACTCGGCCTTCCTTGACAAAGGCAGACGGTCCTGGCCCGCCCCCCCAAAGCCCGTCCCGAGGTCCGGGTGCCCAGGCCAGCCGCGCCGGACCGCCCCGGACCGCGCGGAGGTCGCCACGCCGCCGCGGGCGGCGCCCCGCGGGCGGCTGCTTCCGCGGGGTGTGCGCGGGCGCCTGTGGGGTCTTCCCTTGGGGTTGGGGGGGATTTTGGGTACCCTGGTAGGGGCTCTTCAATTGGGAGCCTGGAACATTTGTTTTGGATTTCCCACCCCCCATGTTGAACATGCAAAGATGAAACGACCGTGTCCTTTTGAAAAGGTGGCTTTTGGCGTGTTCCTAAGCAAGAACGTTTGCTGGGATGTTCTAATCATGCTTCGTCTCACGCGCACCAAATGCATGCTGGCAATCCGTTTTAACCGGGTAATCCGTGTATCCATCATGTGTTTGGGGGTTTGCCTCAGTTTACAAAGCGTGCTCACTCAGCACCGCAGCGCGGTCGGCGACCGATGCGACCGATGCGACCGATGCGACCGATGTGATGAAACGTCAGTTTTCCACAAAGAGACACCAGCACTTAGACAGGAAGACCTTGCAAAACCGTATCTCGGGGCATAACCACACGGCGTAGGAAGCCTTTATATATATATATATATATATATATGTACACATGCACCCTTTATGTATCCATCAGGTGGTTGATGCGGTATGTCTATCTGGGGCAACTACCCCAGGGTTCCTGGTCCGTGGTTGCAACCTTCTCAGACCTCTCTTTCTCTCTCTCTCTCTCTCGCTGGTTTTGGCAACATCCAGGTCTCCGGCAGGCATTTGGGCAGGAAGGAGCATGCCTCACGGACGGATCCAGCCATGAAGCACTCGGCCGCTCTGCTTGTCGCATGTTTTGAGAATGCTGCTTTTGTTTGTTTGTTCCAGTGTGGTGTTGGCTTGTTGGGTCCTTTCAGATGACCCTCATGTTGGTCTGTCAGACACTGCTCGTTTTGCAGACTGGACGCGCAAAAACTAGCGCTCTTGCTACCGCGCAGCTGGCACCTTTTACTTGCCTTGCAACTCCGTTGTCAGGTGCGTTTCTAGATTTGCGCACTTGTCCCGTTTGTCAAAGGGGTCCGCTGACAGCTTTCTAGTCTTAACGTATAGGTATGAGTCGAATCGAGGATATCAGGGGCTCGTTTTCGCATCCAATGATGCAGTCAGGAGCTTCGAGTTGCAACAGGCAACATCATTGCTTTCCCTTTACACACCATCGGAAAGTAGGGCCCCTCTCCTCTAAGGGTTTAGTTCCCCAATCGTTCTTTTCAGAAACCACCCATTGAGTCTTGGGCCGTTTTCTGAGCTTGAAGAGAATGGGTACAGCTCTAGTGTTTTCCCGGCCGAAAGATCTGGGATAGCTCAAAATACAGTGGATGGACAAATTCCTGCACCACCTGAAAAACCCTGGAATGATTCGAGTGACCTATAAATACCAACAAACAGTGGTTTCAACCATGGTTCCAAAGTGGTGCGAACGGATCTCGCAACCATCCATAGTATCACCCACCCACCAAGACTCAAGCTGATGGTTCCTTCCCTTCCATGAATTCCACCAACATCACAACTCGATTCAACTAATTCGAGCAATATCAACTATTCAGCTAACTTTGTTTATTCAGTAGGTTCATCTGATTTCATGAGTTGCGGATTTTATTCCCCGAGCTCCCCCCAGTCCCTTCGGCTCGCCGAGGCCTGGGGCTTGGCGCTCCTGGCGCGAAGGCGGCGAATTCGCCGCGTTCTGCGCCGGGCGGGGCCGGAGGCCCCCGTCACCTTGCGCGAGCAGGCGGGGGGCCGGGGCTCATCGCAAGGGGTGAGATTCGTGGGTGTCACTTTTCGGCTGTTCTGGTTGGACATAGCTGGGTCACACTGGTTTGGACTGAACCAGTTTTAGGTTGGTTTGGGCAATGGAATAGATGGGCTCCACTGGTTGCCATCCAGTTACCAGGGATCTGCATCTATTGTACCAAAAGGTCGATGGGGGTGCTTGGGTCTTTGCATTCCCTGCGGCTTTGCTGTTGCGGACAGCAGCTGGAGCGCGGAAGATGCTGGCCATTGGGGGCGATTTGGGACCATTGTGGACCACGCAGCCATTGGAGACCATTGAGGATCATTGGAGATCATTGGGGACTATGGCGGACCATTGCGGACCATTGAACACCATTGCGGACCATTGGTTCGAGACCATTAAAGGCCATTGGGGTCACGAGCTCAGATTTCTGGCCAATGCCAAAGAGTAAGACGCTCAACGCATGGTGAGTGGGATATCAGGCAGCATACCAACCGCACAACATCGTTGGAGCCCAACTTGCCCCCCAATCGCAATTGCCGGAGGCGACCATGCAAAGATTGTCCTCTCCTGATTGGTTGAAATAAACCACAAGTGTCAAGTGGACTTTTCTCTTGGACATGGAATTTCAAAAGCAGTCATTTGTAGAGACATATCCTTCTGGTGGGTTCCATCTTCATCAATTACATGAACTTTGTTCACCAGAAAAGGCTTCAAAATAACAAACTTTGGACCACTTCATGCCGAATGGAAAGCCGCGGCTTTCGGGAGATCGGTGTCGGTTTTCTGAGGTCATTTGGCCGCGGGTCAACCATCTGTACCCAAACTGGGTTTCCCTGGTAAGTGGAATCATGGACCAAACCCTGCGGTCTCAAAGGGTGGTTTCATTTTGACCCACTAAAAGTGTTTAGTGTTTAGTGCTATTTTCCATTGAACCCACGAAAAGTTAGTCACGTTTCGCGGGGTCTGAACACGGGCAGCCCAGTTCGAAGGTCGCTTTTTGGGACAGCGGGCGCTTCTCTCGTCGTGGGCCCCGCCAAGTCGTCGTGGGAGGCGCAGCAGCTGGCCAGCGACCAGGCGGCGCTGCGCATGGGCAGCGGGGGACTGGAGAGCGTGGTGCCTGAGGACTGAGTGACTCAGTCGGCGGGTGGGTGGGGTGAGGTGGAGGGGAGGTGAGGGTGGTGGGGGTGGGGTGGGGGTGGTGGGGGTGGTGGGTGGTGGGGGTGGTGAGGGTGGTGGGGGTGGTGAGGGTGGTGGGTGGGGGGCTTGAATGTTTGCAGAGTGCAACAAAGTCAGAAAGTCCTGGAGGATAATGGTTGGAAATGGACACGCAGCTCTGCAGAAGGCGGAGGGTCTGACAAATGCAAGACAGGCAGGGACCCATACCAATAGCGCATACAGTTTGCTTGGGGGACGGATCTTTTTTTGCAGAGTCCAACAAATTAAAGAAGTCCTGGAGGAAGGTTGCAAACGATATTCTGCAGAAGGCGGAGGGTCAGATTTGTTTTGGTTTTGACAAATGCAAGACAGACAGGGACCCATACCATTAGCCCATACCACTGAACTTGCTTCCTCTTCATTTGGTGTGCTGTTGCTAAAACGTCAGGCTCTTGACCCACGAGTCTCCATACGAAGCGGTAGACCAAACCCAGAACGATCCCTGCACAACCTGGCTTGTTGGCTTCTTGAGTGAATTTTCCCTTGCCATAGCCTTGCGAGTAGCTCCCCTGTGTCTCAGGTCAAATGTTCCCTCTGCGCGGCAGACATTGTGCTCCAAGAAGCTTAGTAGCAAGGCTTGAACCTTGGGCACTCCAATGCGATGGGATGGTTGAACAGGGAAACCAAGAAACCAACCACCCGAAGCGTCGTCATTCTGATGATCAACACTTTTGTTGCTTACTTGAGTTGAGCCACAATCAACACCAAACTGCAAGCCATTCTCAATCGTTGTTGTTTGCCACAGGGTTTGGGGGATACTCAAAACGGTTTTGACCGTGTCTCCACCCAAACAAGCCAGATGGAGCTACGAATGTTAACCATAGGGCCACTTGCAAAACTCAGGATCATACTGAGGCACGCATATACTGCTTCGAAACAATGTATATCTACATCTATATCTATGTATCCCTCTCTCTCTCTCTCTATATATATATATATTTGTCACTTTCTGAGTGCACACTTTTTGATTTCAAAGGGAGACCTTTTAAGGTTTTGGGAGCCCTGCGGTTCGAGTGGACTGGCTTTTGGCCGCCAGTCCGCCCATAGGACGAGCGCAAGCAGCTGGAGAAGAAGGCCGACACCTTGGAGCCCTTCAGGCCGGAGCGGTGCCGCATCGCTCGCTGATCCTGCTGATCCTGCTGATCCTGATGGGTCAATATGAGTTCGGGACGCGTTGGTCAGGGTTGGGCCGTTCCATGAGTTGGTGAACGGAAAGGGAAGCTGGTGTTCACTCTGGGCCCGACCTCCAAAATCCTGAAATCCCGGGCTAGGAAACGAGCCTGGGATACGAACTATGCTGAGCCAAAGCAGAAAGAAGAGGATAACAGGCCCACTTACTGGCCAACATAAATGAACCTGGGTCTAATTTGTCCCTGTCAAGCAGAAAGAGGGATGGCGCTCTGGGTGCCCCCTTTTTGGGGTCTACAAATGGACTTGTTTCCTTGAGTTTTGCTTTAATGATCCCAAGCCCCAAGGCACGAAGCTAAAGGAACGAAAAGAACGAGGGCTCGGGAAAGCGAGTGGTTGGAGATGCGAGGCTTGGGTCCCCCAAATATTGCAAGTGGAGCAACCACATGCGTTTCTGTCTTCTGAGGATGCCCCTTGTTGGGGTGGGTTTTAAGGGGAAACTATTTGACGCGAGTGCGTACCTTTAGCGCACCTGAACTCGTACGCGCTCACATCGAGAATGGGAGAAAACATGGGAGTCACACCGAAATCCTAGGGAACGAGCCCTAAATTGCCTCCATGTCCATCAAGGAAGCAGAAAGTTATGACAATTGCTCTCATTTCGGGCCTTGACTGCCACGTGTCTGAGGCGATTCTTGTCTTTTGGGAAAGCCGAGGCAGAGCAAACCAGGACACCAGCCGTTGCGCAAGGCTCCACTACTCGTGTTTGGTTTGGAGGCAGTCCGAACTGAGTTTTGAAGACTCAACGCGTCAATTCGGCTTGCAGCTTTCCAGGCTCAATTTGCTTCATATTAGAGTTCAGGCGCGTAAAAGGGAACGAAGAACACCGCGTGACTTACCGCATGTTACTGTTTTTTTTGTTTGTTTGTGTTTTGGCGTTTAGCGATTGTGGATCTTGAATAGGTTTTGCTGTTTTCATCCGTTCTTTTTGTGCCGGCAAAGCCTGAACCCGCGACACTTTTCCATCAAGGGGCCGAAGCCAGTTTCGCTTGCAGCTTGGTTTGAAGTGGCCAGGAAGGGCGTCATCCTGGCGGCTTGTTTGCTGCTCTTCGGGGCGCTGCAAGACGGGCCGCTTGAAAAAGCCAGATGTGGGGGCGTGGGGATGGGCATGGGCATGGGTGAAGTGCGGTTCGGAGGAGAGGCCTTGGAGAAAGAAACAGGCTTACCATGGAAGATGCGAGTTTCAATAGACCCAAACTGGTGGACATCATGTAAGGTCCAACTTCCTTTGGCATTTGAGTGATGGGCAATGGTCTCTTGGTCCTGACAATGCTCCAAGAAGTGTGGAGGTATCCATACTTGTTTCATGCCTGCGGCACTCAATGGCCTCAATCCCGAGTGGGCGCCTTCCGCGACTTTGGGATTGTAGCCTCAGCGCATCGGCCATGGCTTTTGCGGCATCCTTGCGAGAGGCACAGCTTCCTTCCCTCGCCGAAAAGTCGGCTGCGAGGCTCCAAGGCCCAGAGCCGAGCCCTGAGGTTCTGGCTGCTGGTGACTCCTGGGCTCACCGCCCAGGGTTGGCTCAATGTCATCCGCTCTGAGGCGCTTGGAGGGATGGAGGTTGGCTGTTGTAGCAGGACTCCCTACATGTCCCTGAAATCATCACACTTGCAGACTTGCGGGAGAACCCGAGAACCCGCGTTCAACTGGTCCAAGAGGTGAAAACTGAGCCAATGATAGTGGGAACCCGGGGATTCTGAAGCGCGGAGGCAAGATATACCCGAATTTGTCTTGGTGCTCTTGGTACAAAATTGGGGGAGGGGGGGGGGGTCCTGGTTCATCAAAAAGGGCCAGGCCTCACAGTTCCCATGTCTGGTCAAAATATCCTGATCCACTTGGGAAGAGACTCACCAGCTTTGTCCTTAGCGTCACATTTTGACGACTCGTGTCACTTGGAGTTAAGTGGACAGTGGTCCACGTGAATCATGTCGATTCCTTTTGGAACAACGCGCCACTCTTGGCTCCGGTGTGACCTTTGGTGGAACTTTTTTTTTGGGGTTGGTTCAAAGACAAACTGAACGCCACATGCCCCTCTCCCACGTGGCCCCAGCTTCCTCTGAGTTTTCAATGGATTACATGGTGGCCCCTCTTCCCCGCCGTAAGCACTGGGCCGGGACGTAAAATGCGGGCTTTCTCCACATACGACCTTCTGGTGTTCCTTTCAATCCACTACAAGGCACGCACCCAACTGAGGCTTTTCATGATGCTTTGCCAGTGGATTGTGTCAGGATTCCCAGTCCTCGTCGCTGGCGTTGATCCTTGGCTTGACGGCGGTGGGCGCAGGCGCGGAGCTGTTTGGGGGGGGGGGGTTTGGCCGGTGATTTGGCGGATTTGGGCCTTCAAACGGGCTTCCCCTCAAAATGGTTGGCTTTGCTAAAGGGGTTCCCTCCAATGCAAGTCTGAAAAAAGGGTTCCCCAAAAGAGGCACACCCACCTTTGCGGCTTTGTCCTCTGAGGGCTTTATGGACGGCATGGCAGGTATATGTTGCTTTTCACAGGCGTCAAGAACCATTTTTCATGGAAGATTGGGGGTTGTCAAAGCCAGAGTTCCTGGCCAGTGGTTTCCCTTGAAGCTCGAACTTTGCGCTCGACACCTGAAGAGCCTGTTGGGACTCGCTTTCGGGTAGGTTTAGGCCAGCTGTTTCAAGTCACCCCTCTTGATATGGGCATGTGTCTTAAAGATACGGGCACCCCGAAAATTGTAGCTTTCCCTTCGGTTTCCCTTCAAACCACCTAACGTGGCTTCGCGGTGAAGCTGAGTCGTTTCCACGACTGAAGGCAAGTCCCTTGCTTGGGGATCCCATAGTTCAGGTTTGCGAAATGTAGTGGGCGCAGATTTGTTTCTTCACGGCTTTCTCTGTTTTTGCCTTTCTGGGCCTTTTGGGCCTTTTGGCGCGGGTGGGCGGGGGTCAGTGGCAAATGGGGTTGTTTAAAGCTCTATGGGTCAGGTGGCCATGGCTTTGGCTTATGAGAACCATGTTGGCTAGTTGACCAAACACGGAGTTTAGACAGGTTTACTTGTCCGCCGTTTCAACAGCCAGACAAGTTTGGAAGCCCCTAGTTTCTGCCTCATTTCGTGAATTCTTGCCGAATTCTGGGATTTGAGCCACAAGTTGAAGAGCACCCAGCCACAAACTGATGAAGTAAAAAACATGCCTTTTCTTCTTCTATCAAATCTGGGGATTTCAGGCTAAATATGTTTTATATGGTTTGGGCCCCTTTTCCGGCTTTTCCGCCTGAGCAAAGTGAAAAACGAGAAGCAGCGGTCGCGTCGCGTCAGGGCTGCTGTACACCGGCCTGGTGCTGCTGGCGCCGGCGCCGCTGCCGTCTTTGGAGTCGGTGCTCCAGGAAGAGGAGAGCCGACAGGAGGCGCGGGAAGCGAAGGGCGGGGCCGGGCGGGGAGGTTGGCGCGTCTCCGGTTTTGTCGTTTTTTAAAGTGTCTCTTTTTGGGGGCTTTTTTTTGAGGTGGAAGCTAAAAGGAGACCAAGCATTTTGGGTCGCAGCTTTGGGGAATCCTCCAAAGTGGCTGGACCCGGTGGCAAAAACTGAAGTTCAGCTTCTTGCAATCGTGTGTGTGCCACCATTGCCTCGTCACAGCCTCAAACCGGGACTCCCAGAAGGCCCAATGTGAGGTTTTTGTTGGTCCTTGAATGCCGCTGAGCCTCTGTTCGGCCGTCTCACGCCCGGGTAGATTTAAGAGTAAGAAGAGACAGTCACTGGAAACAAGTGCGGCAAAGCCCCTGTGATTCTTCAACAGATGTTTGGGTGGACTGTTTCCTGCCTGATTTCAATTATAAAATTTCTTGTTTGGTTCCTGACCAAGGAGCCTAAAGTCATTGTCAACTTCCGATTCATCCTGACCACGAATGAGGGGTGGCTTTTCTGTGGGGGGACACTTCATTTCATTTCTAAAGGACCTTTGATTGGTATGGCCCTCCGGATGATTCCAATCCTAAAGCAGTTAGGAGCCTGAAAAGGGGGCTGATTTCGGGTTCCTGAGACCCGTGGGTGCCTGTCATAACCATGCCACCCCATTGCTGGGTTTCCAGGGTGCCTTTCCAAATCCATCCTTCAAAACTCTGGTGCTAAGGGATGAGGGAATGACCCTTATCACTGCTTTAAGGGACCCCTTGGTTCATTTCCACATTCCCTACCTATCGCACGAGCTAGTTTTGACACCAACCCTTGCCTTAGGAGTTGAAGTCACACGAACGACGGAGAGTGCCCGAAGGTGTCTCTCTCTCCCGGTTCATGGCTTGCGCAGCTGAGGCGGAGAAAAACAGGCAGCTGCGCAGCTTGGAGGGCAGGCGCGTGGCAAATGCTTGACCTTCCGTTGCTCGGGGTGCCTGCTGTCGGCTTTTTTTTTTGGGTTTTCGGGCCTGCCATCCGAGAAGGGAAGCTTTTCCACCGTGACTGGGCTCGAGCCGAGTCGAGGTGAGTCACAATCAACGCCTGGCACACAAATGGTGAACCCAGCCCCATGTAAAGAATTAGAAAGGCGGCCGCAACTATTTCCGGCTGGGACTGCCCCGTACTAACCTTCATCTACTTCAAGGTGTTTTGAGCACGTGGCTCAGGTGGTACTACGGTCTGAACCTGGGCCAGAGCTACCGCATCTTCCAGTCCGAGCGGGGCTGGCGCTTCGAGGAGGAGCTGCAGGGCCGGAAGTGCACGGCGGAGCTGCGGATCGTGGGGGGCTGGGCGGCTCGGCAAATCCTGCGACGCGCCTGGATGGAGAGCCTGGGGTTCGACCACCAAAACGGGGGGGGTGGTCTTTGATTTGGAGAGCTCTTCCTTTTGGTACTTTTGCAAGGGGGAAGGAAGCAAAAGGAAGGCAGCTTGTTCAGGGTCACGTTTTGAGACACACCCTACAGAACAGCTTCTTACTATATATATATATATATATATATATAAGGGAATGATCACCACGACACACAGCACCATGTGAGAGTTGGGGTTTGAAGTGGTGACTTGGTATGCAAATGGTCAGCTTCTTTATGACTCCCTTCATCCCACAGGTGTCTCTGATATTCGTCGGGCGAGAGCAGGGCTCCATCTGTTTTTGGCCGCTTCGGCCTTGAGTTTCCTGCCCCCAGGAAATGAGGAAGCAACGGCACCTAAGCCTAAGCTGGAAACCCTTTCGTCGCTTTGTCCCCCGTTTCATTCCGGCGCTGGCAGGAGACATGGCAACCGAAACATTTTCCCGTTCTCGCGAGGTGGGTTTGGATTTGTCGTTTGGAGGCCACAGGGTGTCTTTCCATTTAGTTTCGACAAATCCAAGTCCATTTCCCTCTCCCACGGAACCCAGCCGAGGTCCTCTTCCAGATCAGGTCCACGTGTAGAAAGCTTTCGATTCTGGTTTAGCGCAGATACAGACATCAACAACAAACCAACCAACATTTGTTTGTTCTGTAACCAGCATTTTTTTTTTGACACATTTCCAGGTGAGGTCATATTTTTGTCCGCCCCTTCGCCGTTGCAACCTGACATAGGATTTGTTTTGACCAGTCTTGGGGGCACCTTGCGTCAGAAAGAGAAGGGAATCCCAAACTCATCATGCCAGAGATGCAGCTGGTTCAATTTCACTGGGAGTACATGCTGGCATTCCGCCATTCTGTCAGCGCAGTGCTTTTTGCATCAACAAATTGCAGACAACCAGGAGCCCCCAAGGTACATCAAATGATTTGTTGAGTGACGACCTCTGGGACACTGGGGGCATTTGACAGCCGACACCGCGCCTGGAAGACACCTCGCCCAGTAGAAATTCGCTGTCAGGTGGCTGTGGGTCAAAACCAATGGTACCATTTTGGGGTAGGTGCACCACCTATTTTAGAGCCTGTTTTAGTGGGGATTGGGATGTTCACTGGGGTATTGGATTTTGATCCATGGCCAGGTCAAGGGCCAGTTGCTCGACCAGCACGGCAAGGAGGTGGGCCTGATCCGCCTGCGCCGGTCCGCGGGCAAGAGCGTGGTGTCCAACCTGCGGCCCGTGGGCGAAGCGGACTGGGGGCCATGGCCTCAGCGGGGATTTGGGAAGCGAAGTTTGGTCACAGTCTCTGTCGATAGGTGTAAAAATACACCCTCTTCCCAAAACAAGAAGAAAGAGGAGAAGAAGAAGGAGAAGAAGAAGAAGAAGAAGGAGAAGGAGAAGGAGAAGGAGAAGGGGACGAAGAAGACGAAGAAGGAGAAGAAGAGGACGAAGAAGCGGGTTTTCCCTTTGGCCTCCGATCAACTTGAGCAGCCCTCAGGAATCCCAACGAGGCCATCGGCTGGTGAGCAAGCGCTTGCCGCGCCGCATGGCGGGTTGGAGATGGGCGATCACAGGATTTCACGTTCTGACTACCCCAGGGTAGACTTAAACCCAGGGATGGTTCATTGCCCCCCGAAAAGGGGAACCCCGGGGTTTAAGTCTATATTGGGAACCCTGGCCGATCATTTTCGGGGCCTTTTTTCCTGCTGCCTAGGGATTTCAGTACCCCCCAGTTCCTGGCCACCGTGCAGTCCCGTCAAAGCTTCGCGGGAGGCAGCTCTCTTCCAAGCCGTGGCCAGCGGTCGTCTTTCGTGGTGCCTGATTGACTATCGAGCCTTGTACCCAGTGGATCAAGATTGTTGGACCGCATCCTGCGATTCTCAACTGGCTTCCTCAGCAAAATCAACTTCCAGGGGAAGGAAGTTCGAACAAAGGCTTCCGCAACAAACAACCCGAAGGGGGAAAGAAGCGCCACAAGAAAAACAAGCAGCGCACACAGCGAGGATTCTGACCCCCGTTCAAAGGGCACGTACGAAAGCACCGTTGCGCCCGATTTTCAGCTTGGCCGTGCTTTACCATTTTCGCGCTTCGCTCGTTGCTGCGAGCCACAAGCGGCTATGCCGAGGTGGATCCAGTAAGCGGTTAAGCTGTTGAGCCGGGTCACTAGTAATCTGGCTGTGGGTCAACACCAATGGTCCCTTTTCGGGGTAGTTGCACCACCCATTTTTTTTCCGGGTGGGGTTTGCGATGTTCACTGGGGGTGCGGGGTTTTGACCCACAGCCTTATGTTCAAATTCTGGAGTAAGCTGTTTGGACTTAAAAGCCGTGGCTAAGCCGGCGGCTTGGTGTCCTTCGATTTTCTGGTGATCTACGTCGCCCCCAAAAAGTGCGACTGGCAGATGGGCTCCGCTGAGGTCCAAGCGGGCGGGGGAGCTGACGTTCGCTCGGTTGGGTCAGCTATGCTCCATTTGGGGCGGTAGTTGAGGTTAATCCCTGATGGATAATCCCGAGTGATTCAGGCGGTTGCTGTTTAGTGGCGCTTCTTTTCCTCAGTGGGAGCCCCCAGATGAACTGGGGGGTTTCTCAATTGGGCGTCAGCACCATTGGGGGATCCCAGCAACAGGTATATATCTCCGGACGCGTTGGAGCTTCCAGCACAAAGTTATCAACAAGGCCTGAATGCTTCCTAAAACGAACGCAGGCAGCATATTGGATGGTATTGTGCTTTGGTGTTCCTGGAGCATCGCCACCTGGTTTAGCAAGTTTGGACATTGAAAACAACGCAGCAGTTTTCTTCGGGCTGACCTGATAAGGTAATAAAGGATCATTTTGTGTTCTGTGTTTACGTTTGTTGCTTGATTGCACTGTGCTTGTTTCTTTCTTGTGGCGTTGACGACTTGTTTGTCGTGGTTTCGACGTTGCTTTATTAATATGTTGCTTGAATCAATTGTGTGAGATTTGCTTACTTGCTTGCTTGCTTGTTCGTTTGTTTGTTTGTTTGTTTGCCTGCATGTGTGCGTGTGTGCGTCTTTGACGTATTTGAGTTGGTGTGTGCTTGTCCGCGTTGCCGTTTCTCGTTCGTGCTTGTTTGTCATTCTTTTGTTCTGCTTGTTTTTGTTTTGTGTATTGTTTGTTTCTTGAATTATGTGCGTTTTTGGTTGCCCTTTCTTGCGGTTTGTTGTGTTTTTTGTACATCTTGTGTCTTGTTGTTTCTGACAGTTCTTTTTATGGCTTTGTTCTTTATTGCTAGCACTTTGATGTTGTTTGCTTGGTCGGTTGGTTGTTTGCTTGGCGTGTTTGGGCCGTTTGGTTCGTTCAGTTTGCTTGCTTGGTTTGGCTTGCTTTGCTGTTTGTTTGCTTGTTTACGAATTTGGTTGCTTGCTTGTCTGCTTGTCTGCTTGTTTGTTGTTTGTTGTTTGTGGTTTGTGTGTGTGTGTGTTTTTTTTTTTCCTTTTGTTTCTTCGCGAGTCTGCTTGTTTGTTTCTTCATGTTCTTGCTGTTTGATCGTTTGTTTGTTTGTTTGTTTGTTTCTTTGTTTGTGCTCGTCTGTAATCCTTGGTCGCAGTTTAAATCGAACTGATTTGGTTTCTTTGTGCGTCCGCTTGTTTATTTGTTTCTTTGCTTGCGTGTGCCCCTTCCGGCGCTGCACATCAGCCGTCCAGCTGTTGAGTCTCGAGATGAGAAGCAGGTGGACATCGCATGCAACACATCCCACAATGTCTCTGCACATCATCTTGCCTCGCTCTAGTCTGCTTCCTCTTGCCCAAGCTGGCCTGTTGGTGCGAAAGGCGGGCCCGTTGATTTTTCTTTCTTTTCTTCTTCTTTTCTTTCCTTTTTTTCCATTCCTTTTTTATTGAGCTTGCGGCTGGTGGGGGGCTAAAGTAGCACCGGTATTCTGGGCAACTTGTAACCTCCACGCCCTCTTGGGCCTGCCGAATTTCCCGTCTTGCTAGTTTAGTTGCCCAGGTTCCGGCAACCTCCTAAACCTCCCACTTCAACAAATGGCTGGGCCAATCGGGCATATGAGCTCACAGCCGTGTATTTGTGGGGTTTGCAGGGGAACTGGGTCGAGTCGATACGCTTCCTTAGACTTGCAAAATCTCTGGTTTAGAGCCGGATTTATCACATATCCCACAAAAAGCTGTTCGCTTGTCGCAAGGGATCCACGGACCGCTCGTTTTGCTCGTCGTGCGGGAATCGAGCGCGAGGCCGGCGCGAATCGGTGGATATGGTGCTGCCTCCTGAGCTCCATGCCTACGCCGAGAACATCTTGAGGACGGGCTCCGTCTGACGGTTGGCTTAATGTTCACCCCGGATTAAGCAGAACCCTGGTTGATTTTTTTTTGGGGGGGGTGTCACCTTTTAGCGGGGATTCATCACTTTTGGTTCCGTTGGTTCCGTGGGGATTCATCAGTTTGTTGGCTAACCGCAGGCAGGTAGTTCCTAGGGCCTTTAATGGAGGCCGCACGCAAACAGCGCCTGAGGTGCCCTGAGGATGCCCAGATTGTGTTCGGCCAAATTAGTAAGTCGTTGGCAACTAGGGGTGAACCACCTTGTTAGGGGTATACCCCCTATGGGCGAACCACTTACTAACTTGGCAACGCTGACTACATAGGCGCTTAAACGACCACCACAGGAGTTCGTTTTCGAACAGCATGTGGCGCGGATGGATCCCCTTAACCGTGTGGAAGAAGAAGACCACCATAGGAAGCTTTCCGTGGGAAGAACAGGTGTTCGGCCTAGTTCCTTCAGAAGGAAGGCCGAAAGGGGCTCGTTTAACAAGCTGCGATGTTTATACTCTCAACAAAATCTTCATGACCAGCACTGGGATGCCTGGCAATTCCACCTCTGCCTAGTACTGACCCCTCTCCCTCTAGACATAGACTTGAATCGGGCATCAAAAAGTTGGTGCTCTCTGATTTGGGATGCTTGCAATTTCAAAAAGACACACACTGTAGGTCAATGAGCAGTACACACGACTTCAATCATTGAAAGATCCGGTCCTGAGCCATGCTTGTGGAACCTATGGCTTTTAGGTTTTGCCACTCTCTGCGATACCACAGGGATCCAAAGGCGCCAAAGTAGTCATGGGAATGCCCCATATCAGTATCCCAGATGTAGGGTTTCCTATGATCAGTAGCCAAAGGTTTCCAGAGATCCACGATCTCGCTAGGTTCTCCTCGCCAGTTTGCCTTTTTTAGCTGGGTGCAACAACTGGTTGAGGGTCGGAAGAAAAATCGGGTCTCTGCACTTTCTGACACGAGTGCCTCTCAAAATGGCAGATGCTCCTTTTGTTTGAACCAATCCGTTTACGTTCATCCCTATTTTGAGAACCCGGAAACACTAAATGTGAAGAATTCATCGCCCACTTGTCTCCCACTTGCATGCAGCAAATCACCACGACTTTGGCAAGCGCGGTTCAGCAACTCGCTTGGGGGTTTGATCAATATTCTTGGCCCCAAAACGACCATGGGTAACTTTTCCCTTGTGGTGAAAGTCCATTTTTGGGTCACCCAATGTTCATGGGACCTTTTGATCACCCCCCATTTCCCATTTCGCCCCGTATGGGAATGAGTTTTAATGGGGGTTTCCCCCTCAAAAGTGATAGGCGGACGCAAACCACCGAATTTTGATGTCCACCAAAGGGTCCCGAAGTAAAAATCATTGCGGTGCTCGTTTCCAGGAGGTTCCCGGAGGAATTCATGGCACTGGGGGCCCCGAATCTGGAGGCGCGACTTTTTCGCCCGCGATTCCGCGGCGAACGGGGTGGGACCCGAGGCAAGAGATTTGTGGTCCCTGGATTTCCTTTCTTGGTGGTTTTACACATCACCGTTTTGGCCATAGGTGAGTATCCCTTGGGATGCTGCTTGTAATGGGAAAGAGAGGGAGGTTTAGGCCGACGGATGCCGAAGACTCGCGGGCAAAGTGAGGCCCGAAGCCGCTCCCCAGAGCCTGTCTGGGCAAGCCCAAAGCTTTCAGTGGAATCACCACCCCCAGTTGCCCCTGTGGTGCTGTTGTTTCCTTTTGTGGGAAGGGTGTCCCTTGAAAGTCAACCCACCAAGACAGGATGCCCTTTTTTCCCCATGGGCACTGGGCATCTGGGCACCTGAAGCGTTGCCAAAGCGTCATGGTCCAGAGGCTGTGGCCTGAGGTTGGTCAGCGCAACCCCCCCCCCCCCCAATGACACAGCTTGGAAGGTGTAAGTATGACACGTGCCCGTGCCATGGATGTGGCCAGTTCCTGGAACCTTGCGGTTGGTTTTCTTTGCCGGGAGTCGCATGACCGAAAGTTTGGGGCTCGGTCCCCCGCATGAGACCAATGCAACTGAGCCACAATAAGAACCCGGGTAGATGAAGCTTAGTAAAGGTAAATTGCTGCGGGGGCCTTCTTAGTTCTTTACATGGTTCTGGGATTACGACCATTTTAGAACTGGGTTTTGATTGTGACTCAAATGAGTCCGCCGCCTCTTCGCCACCCAACCACTGTTCAGGAGATCTACGACCTGCGGCCGAACGGCAGCTGGCCGTGGCCCCCGGGGCTTCCGAACAATTAAATGAATTGGCGGCGTGGCCGGAGGTTTTGCGCATGTTTTGGTTGCCAAACTGGGAGTTCCAGAGCAGATGGTTTTCCTTTGTTTGGCTTTTAAACAGCCCAAAAGAGGGTTCCCCTCAGAACAAGGACGCCCATTTGCAGAAACCTCACGCACAGACACCTCAGGTCTGTTTCTTCTGTCCCCTGCACTGCAGGTGGCCTCAGCCAATGATCTGCGCATAGAACACGCGAGCTGAGGGTTCCCTTGAAAAAGTATACTTCGTCTATTCTCGGCTTCGCTTGTAGCC